TTACTTGGGGGGCTTCGCCCCCCATGATAAACTAAACAACTCCTGCGGCTACTGGAATCGCAGGTCACCAACCTGCCCCGACTGCGCCGCCCCGTCAAACACGCCAATTTAGCTAAGGTAATCATTTTTTCGTGTGTGTGTAAGGAGAGTGTGTTATTGCGTTAAGAGGGGACACAAATTACTTGTATAAATCCCCCCGTGATAAACTAAACGACCCGGCTGCGCCAGTGCCCGCGGCTGCGCCGCCCCCCCTGCCGAACACTTTCATAAATAGTATTTAGGGGCATTTTGCCAAATGATGGAGAACAAAAAATGAATTAGGGGCAGTTTACCAAATGATGGAAATAAGGTACGTTCAATTGTGTATAACTAATTATCCATATTGTCAATACTGGTTATCCAACTGTGTATAACTAATTATTCATATTGCCAACACTGGTTATCCACATTGTGAACATTGGTTGTCCATAGTGTGCACACTGGTCATCCAGCTATGTTTAACTAGTTATTCATAGTGTGCACACTGGTTATCCACAAAAGGTTTAAAAAAAAAAAGCTGAATTATCTAGCGAGCTCACACTATTCTAAGAGAGTAAAGTACACACGCAGGGGGGTACACGGTGCCCCCGGGTGTACCAGATAATTTGCCTAACCTTTCATCAAAAAAAAAAAAATTGGAACAAACTCACTCAGCTGAAAATTTCTTTCTTTTTATGGCGATTATTTAACTCCTTGATTCCTTTTCCTGAGATTTTGCAAAATATGGGCTTTCAGTCACATGTCCTGTTGTTCTTTCTACTTAAAAGAGGAAGAAAGCATCAACCATGTATCTTTTGATTGTGAGCAAACACGAAAGGTATGGCAGCATTTTTCATGTTTACTTGGAATTTTCTTACCACTTAACACAGGTTTATGGAGCATGCTCCAAGCTTGATTTTCAGTTGGACATTAGTAAACGACCAAAAAATCAATCATCATGATTACCCCGGCATTCATTTTATGGGAACTATGGAAGGTGCGAAACAAACATATTTACGAAGGTATCAAATACTCCTTTCATAGTGTCGTTCATGAAATTATGTCTGATATCTCTAATATGCTTCGTGTTCATAATTTATGTGCAAAAACAAAAATGGAGCAAACATAATTGGGGAAATTTTTATGTAAAAATCTTGGAACGTCCAGTGAAGGAAGTCACCTCCTTATGCTGGTTACCAGCAAACTAAGGGTGTAATCGAGCCGAGTCGAGCCCGAGTTTACCCCTGTTCGAACTCAACTCGACTCATTTTTTGACAGACTCGAGCTCGGCTCAAACTCGATCAAGTCATTAAATTTTAAACTCGAGATCGGATCGAACGATTTCTAGTGGACTCGACTCGGCTCGACGAAGCTCGAATCCAACAATTATGAATTTTTAATTTATTTTTTTATTAGTTTCTACAATAAATCTCAACTTCCAATTTTCATCCAGAAAAAACCAAAAAAAAATTAAACAATGGATGGAGAAGAAAATCCAGATCGATTAGCATAACTAGTCCAATAAATAAGAAATGTGGAAGAAAATTACAAGAACAAATAAGCCCACGAATTTGTTCATTGGTTCCACCAACGCAATGAATACAACCAAATCTTGAGTTAAGAAGACCTCGAAATTTCATCGAACCTTAGGTGGAGCAATTCCTTCGGAGAGAAATTCAAAAAGATGAGAAAAAGAATTTGGAGATTCACCACTCACCAGATCTACAATCCCATGTTTTCTTTTCACATAAATCTCACATGAACCCGAACACATTACATTAAATAATATGAAAGAATCAGAAAATAAGAATATTTGTTTAATTTTCATGGTTGTTGAAAGAAAGAATGGGTTTTAAGAGAGAACTTGTGAATCTGGGGAAGAAGAGACAGGGAGGGAGGAAAACGAGAGGTGGAGAGAGAAAGAAATTGGGTAGAGGGAAAAAAATGAGGGGAGACTTTTTTTACTATTAAAAATAAATGAAAAATTTGGGAATATCGAGTAGCTCGACAAACTATCGAGCGAGTTTTGACTAGACTCGAATACGACTCGTATACTTAATATATTGGATCGACCTCGGCTCGAGATCGGTCAACTCGATCTCAATTTGAGTTTTGACCGAGCCAGTTTGCGAGTAACTTGCGAGCGGCTCGAATTGTTTACAGCTCTACACCAAACCCCGGAGATAATTTTGAACACAAATGGTTTAGCATGGGGCCAACCTGGACAAGCGGGATAGGGGGTATATAATTATTAAGAATAATGGAATTTTCGTAGCGGCAGAGTGCAAATGCATAGAAGATAACTATGGTATTGTTGCTGAACTCAAAGGAATACCTTCAAGCTTGCAAAGCCCTCAACCTTCGAAGAGTTGTTGTTCAAATAGATAATATGATAATAGTTAAGCTAGTACAGAATAGAAGCAATTATCCTTGGTGACATCAAGTACATTTAAGAGATATCCGAAGACTGCTGGATGATATTGAATCCAAAATTGTCCATATATACAGAGAAATAAATGGAGTGGCTGATAGTTTATCCAAATTAGGATATGCCAGGATATCAAGGTGATATGAGAACAAAGTGATCTCCAACATCAATAAGAGGTATTTTTTTTTTTATCTCGATCAAATATCATTTCCATACCTCCGAATAAGATAGTGATAGATTCATAGGATTATAAATTACTAGTCAAAAAGAGCTGTTTATGAGATTCTTGCAAGATCCTTGTGAAACAATCTCTTAGTATAATAGCTATTTGACTAGATTTAAAATGAAAAGAACTGTCAGGAATTTTTAGATTAAATTTTTGTGAGACAGTTTTTTAGCTATACATTGCACTAGAACCGTCATGGAATTTATTTAGAAAAAATTATGTAAGACGGTTCTTCTCTTTAGATAAGTTTTAAACACTGCCTTTTAAATTTTTTAAATTTATATTAATAAAATCAAGGGATGCCGTCCAGGTACTGTCCTGGATTTCTCTAAAAAAATAAAATAAAATTATTACTTAATTAAAATTAAAAAAATAACTTTAAATTGAGACGACGTGGGCTGGAGTCATCGGTGAACCTTGTCGAACTCAACAAAAGTATACTTCACTAATTGAATTGAGAGACAATAGTAACAAAAAGATTAGATTAGAGAGAACGAAGGAGTCAGTGTTACTGTGGTAATAACTATAGATAGATTGATAGAGTTATCATTTATCCTTTCGGAAAAATTTCAATTAAAGACATAAGAAAGTTTTTATTTATTATGAAGGACATGGATATTCTTTGTTACTAAAAAAATACTTTTATAATTTTCAACTTATTAAAAGACTGTCATGTCCTTTCCAGACCTTACACTTCATTTATTTTATTCTTTCTTCTCCTCAAATCTCCAATAGTAGCCCTTCACTACGTGCTCCATCAAAAGACTGTCATGTCCTTCCATAACCTTACACTTCATTTAATTGATTATTTCTTCTTCCTAAATTTCCAACACTGGAAAAATATTATTTGGTAGGATAATAAAGCCATTAATTTTTAAAAATATACACCCATTTAAACTAGCCATCTTCCTCCATTTAAAGGATTGTATGAGAGAATTGAATGATAGTTTATTAGTCAGGATACTATAATTCTTGGGAGTAGATTCAGATTCAATTCCCACCAGGAATTCCCTTTTTCCCTTAAAAAGAAAACACATGATACATACATTCAATTAAATTTAAATACAAGTAGTAATTTGAATTTCAAGTTTATAGTTTTACTTAAAACTCATTTACATATTTATATTTAAACTATTTAATTTAATAAACTGGGAAAAATCAAACAGAATGTAATTTTGCAACTCAACGGTTTATTAACTAATTTTAACGATTTAATGCACTATCAATGAAGAATTGACGCATGTCAATTGAATCAATTCAATTTCACATTTGTGAATTTATCTTCTTTATATGTACGTGTGTGTGTGATTATTTGAAAAAAATTTGTACTCCTTTCAGTCCTTATTATCAGAAATTTTCATTTGTTATAAATTTCATTTATTATGTTCTTTTAATTGAAAAATAAAACCTTAAAAATATATTTTCACATTTATTGCATTCTCTCAGTTACACTAAAACATATATAAATTAATACTAGTAGTATCCTGAAGAATTATTAATTTATAGATGTATTAATTTATTGATAAACTAATAATTATTAATTTATCGATAAATTAATAATTAGTTAATAAAATTTTTAGAGACATTGTAGCTACTGTCACTAAAACTTTGACTTAATATGAAAATGATAATAATTCTGTTTTTCCGAAACCAAATATACGAAATGAAACACTTAATGGGGCAATAACTTTTCGAAATTTTTTGTTGCAACATGAAAAATCTATACCGGAGTTTTTGAAAGCAATGAAAAAAATCGAAGATGAAATCTTTCTAGATGTAAATTTCAAGAAAAAAAAAAGTTACTAGATTCATATTTTGCAGTTCATAATTGTTCCTTTTTTCTGTACTTTAAGTCATTTTTAATTTATGATATTGACAGGGCCTATGTTAATATAGAAGTTTTCTGAAAAATTATTATGTTCTTATTTTATTAATTGCCTTTGTTTTTTATACTGGTACCGATTTGGAACCGACGAAATTATTAATTTATAGATCTTATTAATTTATCGATTATTAATTTATAGATTTTTTATTGTATTATAAAATATTTTTAAAGTTTATTTTCATTATTTTTAATTGGAAGAACATACTAAATGAAATTTAGATAAAATTAAAATGTTTTATTAGAAGGACGGGCGGGAGTACTTTTGTTTGCCATGGTAAGTAAAAAAACTTATGGTAACTTTTTACCATTTTTGTTTTTTCAATTTTAAGCTACAACATCATTAACATGAGTCATTCATTAATCTTTTCTTTTTAAGTGGAGAATCTCTTTCAAACCACCCCCACCATCCAAGTCATCAAGATCACTACTACTACTACTAACATGTACTACTATGTAAATTTTTGACTTTATGCTCATTATGAATATGCATCCCATAATCAATCATTTTTTATGGTAGTCTTCATCTCCCATTCCCCTCCTATTAATAACTACTAGTACTTACATGATTTCAACATTTCAATTTTCACCCAAAAAAAAAAAAGAACAGAAAGTGTAGGAGAAAATGTACTAGAAGGGAAAGGAAAAAACAGAGAGCTTGCTGGAGATTTTCAATACGGACAAGCAATGTTTGTGAAAAGGATTCCCAGTACAGGAAAGCATTTACAACGATGCTGCAATGTGAAAACAAAAGGGTCCCTGATTGGTTACTGACGGCAGCATTTGTAAGTAAACCAACCTTATTACCTTAGTCACTATCCTCTCAAACCATTCCCAAACGCACCCTTTTGGTGTCCTCTCTCTTCACGTGCTCATCATCGACTTATCATGTGAATCCCCCAAAACCTCCTTTTCCCTACCCCCTCCTTCTTCACATTGTGTACTCACACCATAAGTGCACTAATCAAAGTAATCATCTAAAGTTCTAAACTTGCCTGTACTGTGTACTGTGAGTGAGAAGTGTTAATTCTGCCCCCTATTCTGATTGTTGTTTAGTTGGTTCTTATTTCGATTGGCCCTACAAAAAATTGAACTTAACTTATTTGCTTTATGCTTGAACTGAGAGAACCCATTTGAGTTTTTCTCTTAGAAAAGCTGATGGGGAGTCTGAGAGATTGAGTTGGTGTAAGAACTGAGCTGGGTTGAGTTTATAAAGAGAGTTGGTGCGGAAAGGTTGTGTCTTTTTGCGTTGTTGGTCTATGTGAGCATAGAAATTATGGGCTGTTTTCAGTCCAAAACTGCGAATGTTCAGTCCCCTGACCAGGAAGCTCCTCAGCCAGAATCTAAACCAGATCTTAATGGTATATTTCTGCAATTTACTCATTGCTCCTTCAAAGTTCCCATTTGAAGTGAGTATGTCCTTTTTTCTTAAAACTTAGTTTGTATTCAATTACTTTTTTGTTTCCCCTTATATTGTCTCGTCCCTGTGTTTCAGTTCTTTTTGTTTTGGGCTTTTCTGGGTTTTGGTCTTCTTCGAGCTTAAATGCATGTTGATTGTTGAGGAAGTGTGGAACTTCCTTATGGGTTTACCTTCATTTGCTTAGTTACATTAATTGCAGTGCTTTTTGATAAGCTGGTTGCTTCACGGTGCAAATGTTTGAGAGTGTACATCTGTGTTGTGGATATGTTACTTTCATGTGTGTTTTTGTTTTCTATTTGCATCACCAATTAATGACATTCAACTATAGTTCCATGTGCTCTCACTTTCCCTCTTTTAGTAACTGTCTAGTGAGCATATTTAACACCATGAGTCTATATCTGGTTGGCTTTTTTAATAACTAGTTGTTGAAGTTTCGTATCTATTTATTTTTTCACTGCCTTGGCTATGTAGTTTGTACCTTTTACCCCTTGTGATACCTAAAGGCTCTATTTGTCTTCATGTTGCTGAAGATAATGGGGACCAAGTGGATGAAGATCAAGTTCCTGTATTTAAGGAGTTCGGCCTAGCAGAGCTCCGAGCTGCCACAAATGGATTTAGTAGTGAATTGATAGTCTCTGAGAGTGGAGAGAAAGCTCCCAATGTTGTTTACCGAGGAAAGCTTAGGAGCAACCGGCTTGTCGCCATCAAGCGCTTTTCTAGGCTGTCTTGGCCTGATCCCCAGCAATTTGTGGTGAGTGTTATTTATTTTGTTTAATTTAGGTCCATCAGAACCAGAAAAATAGAACATATAACTATTATTTTGTTATCCATTCACATTGTATTGTCTTTTCTGCTGCCACTTCAGCATCAGTTAAGTCCCATCTTATTTCCAGAAACCATGCCACAGTAGTGGTGGGTAAAACTTCTCATAGTCCCTTTTGTTTTGTCCTGTGTAGTCACACCTCAACAGTGCCTTATATTTTAGACCTGGGTCTTTAACCTCAGTCTTCTTTCAGAAATAGAAAGTCATGGAATTTTGTTTGTCATCATACTGCTAGTCTTACTTGCTGGATTTGCCTGTGCTGAATGTCTTGTGTTGCTCTTTGTCCACCCTGTGCAGGCTGAAGCTGCTGGTGTCGGCAAGGTTCGACACAAGAGATTGGTGAATCTTATAGGATGCTGTGCCGAGGGAGATGAGCGTTTGTTGGTTGCGGAGTATATGCCAAATGATACACTATCAAAGCATCTTTTCCACTGTATGGTTCACCACATTCTAGCCCCTGATCCTAGGTTTTGTCTTTTTAATTGCTCAAATTGCGGTGAACATAGGTGCTCTTATTAACTAAGATCTATTTCGTTTAAAGTCTCTGATTTTCTTTAAGTTCAGCTGTTTTAACATTTATACAAATTGATGTCTGCCATACACCTAAACATGTCAAAATAGATATATGTAACTGTTTGATGAAATACAATTTGGCTTTGCTAGTTTATGGAATCAATTTTTCTTACCAGATGCCGATGAACTTAACAAAAATATTTTGCACCTGAGGAAGGTGAACTAAGTTGATCAAAATAATTTAATTGTTTCGGGTACAGAATTAAGAGTTCAGGATTAAAGTTCCTTCTTTGGGGTAGTGTAACACCTGTATGTCAAACTTATCATCTAAAGATCATTCTATTCTTCTTTCTTTTCAGCAAATTCTGTTCCTCATCTAAACAATTAGTAACAAGGTACAAACGTTTTCCACTTTGCTATTGATCTTGATCATCCGATTGTTATACTTTCTAGCCTTGAAACATATGAAAAAGAAATTCCTGATGACTATTTTTTGGGAGTAACAGGGGATTGAAACTATCCATACTTTTGAAGTTCATTTGTGATACTCATGGTGCTTGTAAGCGTTTTTAGCTGTGAAAAGGCAAAGTATTCAAACTTTTGCTGTTAATTCAAGGGGAAGACGATAGCTTTCTCTTAATGTTTTACATCTTCACACATTGGTCTTAAGAAACTTGTCAAGTTGATGGACACTAATATGATCTTGCTCAATGCTGTTGTTAGATTCCATTAAAGCTTACAATGACCAGAAAGGAGCAAAAATTGAGATATTGCTCTTTTGTGATTAATTAATGATTCACTAAGGTAAGGGAAGAGTAATTTAATTGTTATGGCAAATATGTTGAAATTAAAACTTTATAGTTTTTAATATAGGCCTCTAGGCAAAGCAATTGAAGTTAAAACTTAACAGTTGCAATGTGGGCCGCTAAAAGTCAAACTAAGACTAAAAATCAATAGCCAGAGCTATCTAGACCTCATTATGTTTTTCTCAAAATTCTAAGTTTGATTTTCTTGGAGGTAAAACCCAATATTATAGTTTACTTTATGAGTAGGAAGCTTAATGTTTCTGACAGAATGTCCCAAGAAGAAAAGAGTTAGTATAACTGTGGTTGAAGTGGATCTTGAGGAGTTGGACAAAAATTACAGTGCAATTCACCATTTTTTTCAATAGGAAAGAAAAGTATGATTACTTCTGTTATTCTAGGCAAGACTTCATGTTGATTTTGAAACTTTTAATGTCTGAACATCATATTGTTGTTGTGTTATTAGTCAGATTCCCATGGGTTTCTGCTTCTCCACCTTTGCTATATGAAAACAGTTCTGCTGCTTAAATGACATTCTATTTCCTTGCGGTAATTGCCATTAAGCTCGAGTTTGCATTCTCCCTGCACACTGATAGTTTCTCTTAAATGGTTAGTGCGCCACAAAAATTCCTTCTGCCCCCACTTTTTCCACTTAACAAACTAACCAAGTAGTTTCTTTTCTTCTGTCGGAAACAAGAGCAAGTTTGGGCTACATTTAGCTTCTTGTCTAGCATGTAGCAACAAATGTTTTCTTGAAAACGTACATTGTTTGTTTATATTTACCACTTCTTTCATTGGTAACTTTATGTGTCTGTTGCAGGGGACAAACAACCTCTTCCATGGGAAATGCGAGTTAGAGTTGCATACCATATTGCCCAAGCTCTTGACCATTGCAACGTTGAAAACAGAAAACTTTATCATGATTTGAATGCTTACAGGGTCCTTTTCGATGAGGTCATTTTAGTTTCTTTCATGTTTTCCTTGTAAAGTTACTACGGTGATATGCAAAAGATTGCTTACTACACAATTTATTCTCTGCGAAACAAAATTTTCCCTTGGTTCAGTTTCTTATCTATAACAAGTTCCCTGTGTAATGTCACATGCTGTATGTGTTCCTTGGAACTTTATTCTATGGAGGATTTTTCTGGTCCAACTACAGGATCATGAAAACCAATTTGAACAGGCTATTAGAAAGCCAATAATGTGATGATTAACTTGTTTTTGAATACTTTTAGATGGCATGGCTATAGATGAACCAAAATAATACTATATCATAAAACTTCTCTGCAAGCTTCTTTTTCAAAACTAAAGAGAATCGAACAAAGTATGTAAACATTTCTTTGTGATTACATCCAACGTAACTGTAAGAGTGTGAATTGAGTGTTATGACATGTGTAATCTGGACATGCATAATCAATGATTTTCACTCTCATCCCTTCCCTATTTACTCTACTTTCATATGAATGCTGCTTCACATCTGCTTCAACAAGTGACCATGTTTGAGTCTTCACATCTGCTTCACATCTCCTTTTTCTCTTGATCAGGAAGGCGATCCTAGGCTGTCAAGTTTTGGTCTAATGAAAAACAGCAGAGACGGAAAGAGTTATAGCACCAACCTGGCGTATACACCACCTGAGTTCTTGCGCACAGGTACAGTAAAGTAATAGATAGTGATGATTTTTATTTCAGTTTATTCCCTTTTGAGATCGATCAAATAAGTTCCTTTTTCATTTATCATTTTCTTTCTACTGTTACCTTAATTGTGAAAATTAGGAAGTGATAAGAACAGATATAAGTGTAAGCACTAGTAAACTTCCCCTATTGTAACTTCTTAAAGTGCTTTACATAGGCTTAAGTGGGAGAATGTGAAGTCTGGTTAAGGGGAAATTATCAATGACTCCGTGAGATCTTTCATCAAATGAATTTGAAGCTTGTAACAGTGTTGGATGTTTTATTTTATTTTTTATTTGCTTTACTCGTAGTAGCTAATAAAAATATATTGTCCTTTTAATTTTTTCCAAATGAGATATCAGGTTTTCTTGTTCTATTGCTGTAACTATATTCTAATATATTTTGTGTGAAATGAAATTGTGCTGAGTCCAGTTCTTAGCCGCACCAACTCTTTTCCTTATATTTTGTGGTTGTATCCACCAGATTGAACTGTTGAAATTTACTCCATTCTCCTTATTTTCCTTTGCTTCTCTCTTTTCCAATGTATATATTGTTTTGATCCACAGGTAGGGTCATTGCGGAAAGTGTAATATATAGCTATGGAACTGTTTTGTTGGACCTTTTGAGTGGAAAGCATATTCCTCCAAGCCATGTATGTTCATAATCCCATCTCAATATTCATTACTCCTTGTGGCTTGCAAAATTTCATCGATGGATTTATGATAGTTGTGTGTATATGCTCTTGTTTTCTGAACGAAAAATGCTTGTGATGTATGTTAGTTGTTGTAGAGATGTATCTAGCGTGCTTCTTATGTTTTTTTTTCCTGTGGGTCATTTAGCTGTGATGTAAATTGAGCCATGGCTTCCTTTTTTTCCTTATCTGGGTTCAGGTGATGAAAAACTGAGTGATGCTTTTCATGATGTTGCCAAATTTTATGCTTGCTTATCAACATGATGTTTTGCCATCGATGCATGGATTTGTTTGTAGATATTATCTTTGGCATATGGAGGTGATTGTTTAGCGTCTTCGATAGGTTTGCTTGGTCAAAGGAAATAAACTGAGAATTCAACTGTTAATACTTTTACGTCTTTGGATATCCTTCAGGTGGTTGTGGTGATTGGCATTCAGAACAATGAACTAACTAATTTTAAGAATTCATCTACTGGCTAAATATGATCATGAACCTAGTAAAACAGAGGCAGAGTGTAGTACACTTGTTGCGTTATTATGAATTAGTCAGACTTTTGATTAGCGTGATAGAAGTTGTTTGAAGTGCTTTCCATTTCCTTGATATGTGTTAGTACAATGAAGTTCTACCTTTGTGTTTTATTGTAATGGATATTATTCTGTCCAGGCATTAGATTTGATTAGGGGAAAGAATGTTTTGTTGCTCATGGATTCATCATTGGAAGGACAATATGCCAATGAAGATGCTACCGCATTGGTGGAACTTGCTTCTAAGTGTCTTCAGTACGAGGCTAGAGATCGACCTGACATCAAGTTTCTACTGTCTGCAGTGGCTCCACTTCAGAAACAGAAGGATGTAAGCCTTTTGCTCTTTCATTTACTAATTAACTGTTCCTTATATTCTGGATAAATTGATGTATGGGATCCTTTTCATTTTGATTTTTTTAAAATTATTATTTTATTATTTTCTCCTTTTTGTAGGTTGCTTCTCATGTTTTGATGGGTCTGACAAAAACTCCAGTTGTGCTGCCTACTCTTCTTTCTCCTCTTGGAAAGGCTTGTGCAAGGATGGATCTCACAGCAGTACATGATATCCTGCTTAAAACAGGTTATAAAGATGAAGAGGGTGCAGAAAATGAGGTTAGTAACCTTGTTCCTTTATTTTTCCCTACCACCTGTCTAAGAGCTTGATTTGATAAAATCTTGATTTGGGAAAATAATCCAGAGGATTGATTGGATTGTTGTAATTACTACTAGTTGCCTAATATTCTCTCTGTCAGAGAAAAATAATCCACGCTGCTAACTAAAGCAGTACAATGAAGTGGACTATTTTTCTGGGACAGAGGGAGTACTTGTTAGTTTTTCTCCCCTGCAAAATGGGAATTCCCATCTCATATTACCAGTATTTCTGCTTCCAAGATTTGTCTTTTGCATTTAATTATTATCATCCTTAAGCTCATTGAGTTTTTAATCAATTCGACACTGATCCTTTCTGAATTTCTGAAGCTCTCTTTCCAAGAATGGACTCAACAAGTGCAAGACATGTTGAACACAAAGAAATTTGGTGATATTGCTTTTAGGGACAAGGACTTTAAGAGTGCTATTGACTATTACTCAAAGGTATGTGCAGCATCTCTTTACATGTTAACTACTCTACTCTTTTCCTTGTGACTTTGCTTCTTCCACTGGGATTGGCTTTGTGGTCGCCACACTTTTCTTCAAGAATGAGTGAGGCTTTTTTCAACCTGTGCCATTTGTGGTCATTGGCCGTGAACAATTTCATTTACCTTTAGGTTGGTTATACTTGTTTGGTTTTATTAAATTTGGAAAAGTAAGGATCCTTGCTTCTTTAATGGAATTAAACAATAATAAAATACTGTTAGTGTTAGTACAAGCCTTTCTTTCAATATGTGACTGTGAGTCTGTGACTGTCTGTAATGTTGCACTTCATTTTTCCTCCCAACTTGCAAAGATCTGACGCTTCAATTTTTCGAACTACTTAATTGGGTGAGAACTTGTAGACATCTTCTATTTCCAGAATGCCTGTCATGTTGACTTATGTTTAGTTGATGAATGAAATTCAAGAAACATTTATCCTAAAGAGGTTCTGTTATATAGGTATACTCATTACATCTCAGTCCCACTTCTGATATTCCTGTAGTGTTGGGAACAGCCAAGCCAACCGTGGTTATCATGTTTTGCCTTGCATATCTATTTCCATTTTCTTGTTACCTGCTCTCTCTATATACATTATGTTTGTGTTGTGAAATCATCTTTGGAAATCATATATAACGCCAATTGGTATGGAGATGTAATCTAGTGCTTTGGTTTATGTTCTTTTCATCATTGGCACACTGTAGTTCATGTCTTGCTAATTTCTGTTGTTATATTCTGCATTTGGTTAAAGAGCACTGTTAATTAAACTGATCCTTGGGTGCAGTTGGTGTCAATGATGCCGGCTCCTTCCGGTACTGTCTTTGTGAGGCGAGCGATTTCCTACCTGATGATTGGGCAGCCCGAGCTTGCTCTAAGGGATGCTATGCAGGCACAAGTTTGCTTACCTGAGTGGCCTACTGCATTCTACATGCAGGCTCTTGCCTTGTCTAAGCTTGGAATGGAAACTGATGCCCAAGACATGCTGAATGATGGTGCCTCCTTCGAAGCTAAGAAGCAAAACAGTTGGCGCATCTAGATTATGTCATTATGATTAGATTTCATCTAGACCATAGTTTACCGGCATTGTGATTAGGATCGGGATTTCGTGTTCATTCAGAGACCAGATCAGCATTTCCTCCGGTTGGATGCTCCAATCCGGTGAGGATAACCTTAACAATGAAAACTTGCTTCTCTGTTGTACGGAAAAAAAAAGGTCTACAGAAATGTATAAATCGGTAACGATGTTGAAAAATCTTAAACTTGATTAGTAGTTACTGACCCTTGCGATTCTGCATCGTGCTGTGTTGCTAATCCATGTCTGTTGAGAAATGTTGGTATGTTATGAGCCTGCCAGATGAAACCATCATCAGTTCGGGATAATTATTATACCCTGTATTTTTTACCCCTTAGCCTCAAGTGATTGAAATAAATATTAGTAGGTGGAACTTGAATATCTTAAACAAATAGTGGGAATATTCTTAAATAAATAGTGGATCAAACGTCTAGAATTTATTCGCATTAGGGATAGGTCATAAAAATCATTATATCATGAAATTTGTCTGTGTGTTTATCACTTAGGCACTGTCAGCATGATAATTTCATTGCGGTATAATCCCACATTCAATCTTAATTATCAAACTCTCTGTTATGATAATAATTTTTTCCTACATTTGCTTTTAGTTTGATAAAGTGGGCACTTAGAATGGTACCGAGGGAATATCTGTTCATGTCATTGTCATAAATCTTATTAAGCTCTCATAATTCCATCATAATATATAACAATAAATCTCATAGGGCCAATGTAGCTTGGTGGAGTGTGATCTTAGGAAATTTTACTCCACTATTTTGGTCGATTAACTCTGCTTTGTCAAAAAGACAAGGAAAAAAAAAAGGTGCATGAAATATCTCAGAAATTGGTGCAAAAAGATAATGGCTACTTGGGGTCTCAAAAAGACCAGGCAAAAGTTTAGGTTAAAAAACGGTAGGGAAACACCACTAACCCCAACTGCATATATGTATATCTCTTTCATTTGGTGCTGATGACAACTGAATCTGAATTTTTTATGGCATTCTGGATTTTGCGAATTCAGAAAAGGCATGTGTTTGCATCAACTAACATAAGTTCTTTTGATGCCATTAGAAGTGTGTTAAAAAAAAAAAAATCAATTGAAGAACAAAAATGAAAAGAAATAATAAAGATACAAAAGGTAAATGTATTGAGCCAATTTAATTATGACTCGGATTTGAATTCGGGCATGGACATACAGCAGTGATTAAAATACTTGTTGGAGAGTTTTACCTCTCAAAAGGGACCTACCGAATCCAGATTAGTCATAACAATGATTTTAGATATCGGATGCATAAAAAAAAAAAATGATAAGTGATAAATATCACTTATTTTTTGTCTTACAATTGAATTGCAAATTCAGACTCACTTAATTACTTCAAACAATGTTATTTTAGTTATCAAATATAATTGGAAATGAATGATAACCTATTGGGTAGGTTGTTGTCTTTCCTGCTAATAGATCAGTGTTCGATTCTCACCAGGGATTGTAAGGGAGATTTTTATCCACATTTAAGTGAGATTCACTGAGGTAGATTTTTTTTAAAAAAAATAAATAAATCAAGAAAAAATTATCAAATGCACTTTCAGTAATTAATTCACTAAAATTTTTTTAGTAGTGATTATCAAACACATTTAATTTTATTAATTACTTAAATAGATTATAAGTGATTATCAAACCGAGCCCGCGTTTAGGGATATCTAGAAAATTAGTCACAACTCATTACCATAGAACTATGGTTCATAAAGTCTAGTCTTTCCCGTCACTTGTTTAGGGTTTTTAATCGAAGAAGCTATATTTTTTGTGGAATGAAAACGAAGAGTATCATTGTCATTCTTATGGCGTTGAGAAAATGGATTTCTACCTCAAAAACTGAAGAAAATGATTCTTGTGGTTTTATATTCTTGATGAAACCTCGGAATACGTGTGGCTCCCGGTGGCGATCGACGGTGGTCGCGGAAAACATTTGTTTTGCCAAATTTATATTTAAAATCAATCTCAAAATGTATCTCAAAATTACAAGCTAACAAAATCACATAAACACAAACTAAAATAACAATCTCAAGTCTAACCAAATATTAGGACTAGATTTTAATTTTAGTTCAATTTATACTAAAATTAAAAATCTAAATTTTTTTTATAACGCCGAGAACCCACCAGAGATGGGTAAACCCACGCCCACTGTAATAGTCTGCAAACCACAGTAGGAGGTAAACCACCATATGCATGCCCGGGGTGACAAGATCGGGTGCGAAATCAGGGATTTATTAGTGAGTTAGTCATGCATGCTCGGGGTGACAAGTTCGAGTGCGAAATCGGGAGTTTATTAGTGGGTTAGTCATGCATGCCCGGGATGACAAGCTCGAGTGCGAAATCGAGAATTTATTAGTGGGTTAGCCATAACAAGTCCCTAGAGGTGCCAATAGGCAAGTTGAGAGCCAACCCCTCACTGTTTGTTGGAGTGGGGGATTGAACTCATGACTTCTTCTTGGAGTAAGAGTGGTGTTACCACTATATCAACTCTTTATTCGCGAAAATCTAAACTAGATATATAATAATTTTGGAATGGAGGGTAGAGAGTATTTTATTATTTTTTTCTACAAAAAAGCATACATGTTGTAATTAGCAAAGTTGACCCAAGAAACTGCAAAACTACCATTTGATTTCTCAGTTGGTGTTTTAATCTCAACAATATATACGCATCTTAGAATAATTTTATTGGATTCAGAAATCCACATTACCAGCTTTAATGGATCTAATTTCTCTACTCAAAATTTTAAACATGTGAGAATTAAGGACTCCATCGATATGTCAATTCCCTCCGAAATAATTTGCTATGATTTTCTCCATAAGCTTCATATCCCCCCTCCCCCTCCTTTTTTTTTTTTGGTAAGAAAAAAAGAGACACAATTAATGTATCTTTTTTTATGGTTTTGATATAGATCGTTCTTATAGTTACCACCAAAAAAAAAAAAAAAAACCCTGGGTTATGTCATAGTCATATGTCTGTCTGTCTTAACAACTTGAAAAGCATTGTGCAGAACAAAAGAAAATATTTGCATACATAAACTGTAACTTTGTCTTTTGCACAGAATTAAAAGTCATTGTATTTATCTAGAGCCTAGACAAGCTGAGCAAGTAGAGAGAATCTCAGCAGAGATCTTCGCCCACTTGAACTCAACCATATATCTCTATTTTAGTAGATGCATGCACATGAAACAATACTGACCATTAACTTAATGACTAGTGATATATACACGACCAATAGTTGAAAGCAAAATTCAACGTGAATTATTTTTTTTGGAATAGAGGTAATATTATTTTTTAAATATGAGTTTTACTTCTAAGTATTTTCACAAATTAGAAACTCAACATGAATTACAGTACAAATTTAAAAACTCATTGTAAATTATTGTTATAATTTTTTATTTATTATTTTTGACAGAAGGAATCCGATTCAATTCTACATCATTTTTATAAAAGTTTTTTTTTTATTTTGATGAATTCTTTTCGTATATATTATTGCTTTAATTTAATTAGTTAAATGGTTATATAATCTGAAGGGATCACTTTTGCACAGTCAGCAAACACAAGCGTGAGGCAGAATGACAAAAAGTTTACAACCTAAAAAAAGACGCAAGTGTTAGTCCGACTTATTTCCAAGTTGAAAAAGCCAAAAATAGAGAGGAACAAACAAACAAAAACAATTTGTTAAAAAAAAAGAAAGAAGAAAAGTTGACAAATAAAACAATCTTTTACAGCTTGATGATGAATTGATGATGATGAAAGATTATAGATATAGAAATATATACGGTGGCTAACAGAGATGATAAGCACTCAAACATTTACTTTATTTTTATTCCAGATTAAGATATAGCATTCTGCTTATAGCTAGCTAGGATGATAATAGTGACAGTATATTTTATCACATGAATCTCGTTTGTTTCCTACTTCAAGTTGTAACTTTCTGAAGTGAGGTGGTGATAAATTGATAAGCACTAATTAAAATATTAGCTATAAAGACGTGCGCGAATTGAATACGAGCAATTGCTTTTCAAGTTCCCTTTTACCTTAAAAAAAAAAAACAAAAATTATATGTAAGTCTAACCTAAACCAACTTCGATAGAACGATTTTTTTTTTTTTTTTTTTTTTGTTTGAAGTCTTCAATGACAGCTAAGTGGTTAATGTCATTTTGCTATAATGTCGTTTTCACATGGATGAGTTTTTTTTTCTTTGTTTATGTCACTTCATATGTTGGTTTCTTGGTTATATTATTTGAAATTACATTATGATGAATGGTTTAGATTGAGATACTAATCTTAGTCGTCACCTTGATTTTCCTGAATTTTTCCTATACGATGATAGTATGATACGCAGAGTGAATTCTCATAGAGGAACGGTTCAAAAAACGAAATGACCGTGACAAAAATCTTAATAAATCATAAATTTAGGGACCTTATATTTTGGTCATATATCGCTTATATAGCTTATTTAAACCCTTATAAAATTTGATTTCGAAGATATAGAGTGGATCGTTAATAAATTAGATAATAAACATTAAGGTATCGAACTTTTCTTGTTAATGTATAGAATAGGAATATATTATTAAACAAAAATTAGTAGCAATATATTAAATTGTTGATAATTGAGTATGAACGATACAGTGTAAAACAACGAATGAACAATGTTAACGCATTGTGACAGATAATTATCTGAACAATTTCATTGAATAATTGCACTGGGGCATATAAAATAACACAAACGATATTTAAAAAAAAAATGCATGTGTTTAACTATAAATGGGGATTAGTTCGATCGTCCTTTTCTTGACCCACTCTTTGATGGAATCCTTACACTTTTTTTTTTTTTTAACACAAATAATTAATTTGACTCCCTTTTTCGGGGGAGGTTTTTTCTCATCACTTTCTGGAATTTTCCTTTTTCTTGATGATGTTGAAACTACAATCGATTATGATTTTGAAAAAGACTAATTAAGAAAGTTTAACGATCGACTGTGCTCTGATTGAGATAGGTTTTAAATATGGAGTCAGCAATGAGGAAAAACTGCAACATAAAAGAGACTAAAAAAATTCTTGTCTCTCAATCACGTAATTTCTAATACTCCCTCCGTCCCATAATTATTGTTTAATTTGGGTTTTCATTTCTAGTTCAATTTGTACTAAAAGTGAAATTTCAAACTGGACAATAATTTTGGGATGGAGGGAATATATAATATTTGTGACTAATAATAAATATGTAAAGGACGTGACTTTTGTTCCCTTTAACTTAAACTTTACAAACCACACATATTAACATCAGAATTTATATTAAGGTTTCTTTACTTGCTGGAAGTCTATAACTTATCAAACCCTGAAATCAATTAATTCGAACCTCTAGCAGATATTATCTTTATCAATGAATATTAATAAACCAGTAAAACCGGGAAAATAAATCATTTTCATTTTCATTAACTTCTACCGTTTTCCTCCTAATTTACCGATTATCGCTGGAAGATTCACCTGTATGTTGTTGTTCTTCACATCAGAATGTGCATATATGTATTGTTGTTGATCATCAGTCAAGTGGAAACTTAAGTGTTAACTGCTTATTTCAATGCTTAATTCATTCAAAACGTCAATAACGATTAAAGGAAAATCTTGACTTAAAAAGAGAGGACAAATTCTCTTAGAACAACACTATCTATATAGGGTTGACGTTGTTAAATTCTTAAAGAGGGTATACAACTTTGCTAGTGTTTTTCCATATTTGTCTTCCTCTTTTTCTTTTTTTTTTTTGGTTACTCAGTCAAGGCGATAGTTGTATCTTTACTGGCAATGAATACTTAGTTGTTTCTTCAATATCAAAATACTATAAATTTGTAAAAAAAAAAAAACAAAGAGTAAATCCTTTATGTCAACACTACATATAAAAATAAAAGATTCTTATGGTGGGTATAAAATTTCTGGTGTTTTTCACATATATATCTGTCTACATTCATTCAATATTGTGTATATGTATATCATTCAAGTGATCGATGGCTCCGGGTTAACTGCTAGTGTGTTTATTTAAGTGATGCTTACTTCATGCAAGAAGATTTTTTTGATACGTACATCTTTCATCCCAAAATGGGGGCAATAAAAAATTATCTTTGTATTTTTTACTCCCTCGTCTCAAAAAAAAAAAAATAAAATAAAATAAAAATTTACATTTGAATTTTAAGACTTGTATTAGTTTTAATATATATATATATATATACATATATATTTGATTTATGTTTTAATACAAATTTAAAAGTTCAATATGGATTATTTTTCTGAGACGAATGAAATATTCTCCACTGCCCTGACGTAGAGCAGCTAGCAAGATGGAGTTGGAGTTTATTGGATAGAGACTGAGTCACTGAGCCACCGGCGTTTACCATAACTGGGCAAGCAGGGCTGGCAATAAGTTGTGGATGTCGCTGCCGTGTAGATGATGAGGACGATAGGTTTTGTCCAGACTCTTAATAAGTATGAAAAAATTGACCCTATATTTTATAATTCAAAATTTTTGCCTTACGTGCAAGTTATCTTTGACCTCTCCTTTAATCATTAGTTTTTTTTTCAGTATTACTAGTATTTTCTACGTTCAAGAATAAAAGTCCACGTATTTATCAATAAATCAGGGTTTGTATTACGGGAAAAATGAGCGTGTTTGTGTCGCCAGATGAATTTTTTAACTTGGTTAATCTGTTTGAAGTCGATGATTTGTTATCACTTTCATCTTGAATTTGATATCTTTAATTAAAAACAAATTAGGCTCTTGAAAAAGACTGAAAATGTAGATATATATCTACTATCTATAGTTGCTTATAACTTTGATTTGTGCACCATGGCGCTCTTATAAGAAGTAGTAGTAATTTTTTTTACATGCAAGCAGTATAAAATATGATGTTCAAAAACTTGAAAAGATGTGTTGTATGTTTGCTCATCCGAAAGAAAACAAAAGGAAAGAACAAACCTTTTTACTTGAATCCAGGGACGGAACCAGGGGGGTGCGAGGGTTGTCGGCCGACCCTGCGGTCGGAAAATCTTTTTAAAACTTACCTTATAATATTAAAAATATTTCGAAAAAAAAATTTATATATGTACTTGATCCCGTAAATATTTAAGACTGGTTCCGTCACTGTTTGAATCTGATCTTCTTTTTGGACATCTTCTGCCAGCAGCCATCAGGCTGGTCCGGCAGACGGTGGGAAAATGCGACCACAGAAATGACGTGAAAGAGTTTACAAATTAAATTTGCATGCAGTGGCGGAGATAAAGTGGGGGCGCTGGGAGAACGTGCTCCCACTGCTGTCTTTGGGTATTAATGTATATTTATTAATTTTGATGCTTAATAAATTGTCTGATTAAGAGGATAATTTTCAGAATGGGCTCAAAAGTCACTAAATTTTTATCTTCAAAGATTACAAGTGGCCCGCAGCTAATCCATATTTATATAATTTTTGGGTTTGTAAAAGCTCTATATTTAAATAATTGAGGTTCAATCAATAAACGTTAATTTATTTATATCGGAATACCTTAATAAACTAAATAAAAACTATTATAGATAAATAATTATTTTAAGTTGCATTGTAAATTACAATTATACTTGAAATTTTTCCCCCCCCAAAAAAATCAAAAGACTATCAAAATTAGGCGTATGTACCTCTTTTATAATATGGCTGCCTTATGATTTTTTTTTTTCGTCAAAAACAATAATCATTATATTAAAAAAAATAAACAAATTGCAAAGGTTTAAAAAACCCCATAGGTGTTAAGCTACGACAATTGTCTTATAATTCTTGACTTTGATCTTCTTCGCATGAATTTTTCAATAATTTTTTTTAATTTGTAGGTAGTTGATAATATTAATGTGTTCCCACTAAAATATTTTTCTAGCTCCGCCACTGTTTGCATGTGTGATTATTTGTCTCTTTAATTTTCATGCTTAATAATTTTTTCTTTTTTTTTCTTTCATAAATTGGCAAAAAAATTAAATCATATTGTTGGTCATTCAACTTTTTTTTTGGTAAACAAAAAATCATACCCCCTCTATCGCAAAATTATTATCTTGTTTGGATCTTAACTTTTAGTATAATTTGAATTAAAAATAAAAATCTAAACTAGACAATAATTTCGGGACAGAGGGATCAGTACCCAAATATGATCAAAATTTTGTACTCCCTCTGTCCCAAAATTATTGTCCAGTTTAGATATCCACTTTTAGTTCAATTTGTACTAAAATGAAATTTTAACTTAGAAAATAATTTTAGAATGAAAGGAGTACAAAATTTGTTATTCATCTTAATAATTTTTACGTCAGTCATCAAACTTTATCATTTCCAACAACCAATATCTATATATCTGGTGAAAGTATGTACGACTCTCACCAACGTTTCGATTTTGACAACTGATATGTAATTGAATCAGCCAGTTGATTACATTAAGGACTCGAGGTAGATAATTTTAGTGTTCTAGCGATGGACACATATAGAGATGTACTATAACAGTCTTGTGCCATCAAGGACTCCTTGAAAAGAGAGTGGACGGTTGAAATTCGACATATTAATTATATTAGGACGAATTTCACCGTAGATTTTTCTTTACACATTCATAAGTTAAGAGTACGAGTATCTATCATCTATGCATGTTAAGTACTCCCTCCAATTTGGATTCTAAGTTTTAGTACAAACTAAATTAAATATGAAAATCTAAAATTGAACAATAATTTCGTGGCAGAAAGAATAATAAATTTTTTATCTATAAATTTTACCTCCTTTTTATCGGGAGAAAAAAAATACCTATGTAATTTATTGCTTATTTAAGGTTATTTAAAACAAAAAGGTGTTTTATCGCGGAAGCCGGATTTGGATAAATTGGAGGCATGGATGGAGTTCTACAGCTATACTTTTATTGCCTCCATTGGTGATACGATAGTTAATTCGAACAGAGGTATGGTCTTCGACTCGTTGAATCTAACTGCTTTTTCCTTTGTATTTTTAGGCAAGTTTTTACTGATGAGGAGAAGATCCGCTTTTGGTATTACAGACGAGCCTGAGAAGGAGGCCTCGTCTCATCAACCCAGGCAGACATCATCATCTCAACAACCTCCTCGTCCAGTCGAGGGGAAGGAGTCAACCCCATCCTTGATTCCTAAAAAGCACAAGGATTCGGGGCCTCACAATAAGTTCTTATCTTCCATTTTGAACAAACGCCCGCCGGCTTCTCAGGGGTAGGACCCGAAAAAGGTGAAACTTAATACAACGACGGTCCTGACCAACACGGCGTGTCGGAGGGAAGTCGGGTCTCACAACCGATGAACTGTTGAAGAAGACGTATACTAACAAGGGTCTCCTTACCCGTCCTGCCAAGACGGGAAATGTACCCTTGGGACACGCATTTGTGAAGTTCAACCCTCCGAGGGTGACAGGTTCAGAAATTCTTATCCCGGAAAACCCTCAAGTAGCCGACTACATGATGGAGGTGAGTTTCGACTATACCTTATTTTTACAAGTGATTTGATTATTCTTAACCAGAGTCCCTTTTCAGTCTTTTCAGGCCGTGGCTGCATTTGGCAAACTTGCCAGAAACTTGGATAGTTTAGTGACGACGAATGAGCAGGCCGTGGCGGAGAAAACGGACGAGCTTAAACATGCAAAGGCGGAGATCGTCCAGCTGCAAGAGGAGAGGTCGCACTGGAAGAAGCAAGCTCAATCCATGAAAAAGAAACTGGATGACCAATCAAAAATAAAGGCCCACAAGGAAGCGATGGCCAAAGTTGAGGAGGCAATGATGCCCAAGTTGAGGGAGTCGATGGTCTTGAAGTCGGACCTCTACAAATACATACTGGCTGCCTTAAGGGTTTACCTTAACTCTTTGGCATTTGCTAGGGGGGTCAACCAGATCATGACTCCAGTGATCGAGATGGGAATGAGACAGCATGGAAAGTTGGTCGGGGATGCCCTACACGCAGGGGGAAGTGTTCACGCCCTGGTGGGCAAGTATACGGACGAGGCCATAGATGGAGCGACCTCACAAATCTGCCTGTGTCATAAAGGCAGAAAATTCTTTAGGGACGCGGATATGAGCGGAATGAAATTCTTCGAGGAGATATGTAAGGTTTGTCCGACCATTACTTCTCCCGAAGATCTCCTACAGATAGCTAAACTGCCTTCGTTCCTTTACAAGTTTCCGGACGATGTTGGATCTACCGTCTCAACTCCCCTTGGTCCAGATGAGGAGGCGGAGTTAATGGCTCGACAGAGAAGGGAGTCCTTGGAGAGTGGCCAGCTGTCGGGAGACGCGAGTAGGTCGACCACGTCGGGGACCAACAACTTGGAGTTCAGCAACTCGATTTTCGGCACTGAAGACTTTGCCAAGGATGAGGTAAACAATCAGTAGATTTTAGGAATTTGTACGTAGGGGTTCAGGTCGATGCGTAGAGGCATCTTATTTTGTCTGACTCCTTGTACTTTTTCAGAATTTTATAAAAGTTTTTATTTAACTATTCAACCATTCGCGTCCAACAACCTCGTTAATATAGTTATGGTTATTTACGTAGGAAGCCTTAGCAAGTATAGTCGATGCCGGAGTAAGCCCCGAGAGGTCACCTAAAAGGGTTCCTTCGACTTTGGGTGGCAGGCTAGACGATGGCAACCTAAATATAAACTTAACAATCCCCGACCCTAACATTGACCCTGACTCTTACCCTTATTATTCAATAATAAGTAGGGCATTAATTGAACCTTCCCTTAGGGGGGAGACTCGCTTGTCGAATCTGGAAGGTCGTATTCGGAGTGCCATCAAGGTCATCCAAGACTTGGAGTCAGAAGCGCTTAGGGCGAATGTTGTTGACCTCAAGAAAGCCCCAGACTCGCCTGTTTGAACCGAGTCATCGACCGCCAGCGGGGTCGGACGATCTTGAGAGATCCAGGCAGAGCCTAAGGGATGGGTCGTCGACCACCATCGGGGTCAGACGCTTTTGAATAATATCTAAAAATTTTGGAAAAGGCGAATATATTATCAACCAAGTCATACTTCCAGGAGTACAAGAGGTGAGCCTTCCCTATACTATGCCGTCAAAAAGATAGACAAAATGGTGTGCCTTGGGGCGAGGCTACACATGGAATTTCTTTAGGTTCTGGATGTTCTACCATCGGGGAAGAGGGATGACCTCGTCGTGCTACGTCTGTAGTCAATAGCTTCCCGAGGGTGAGATTTCCACAACCTTGTAAGAACCTTCCCAATTGGGAGACAACTTTCCAGCCGGCAAGGCGTGGCTAGCATCATTTCTGCGGAGGACGAGGGCACCGATAGCAAGATCTCGACTCCGAACCCGAGCATTGTAATACTTCATTTGCTGCTGTTTGTACCGAGCTTCTCTCGCTTTGGCACAGTCTCTCCTTTCATCCAAGAAGTCCAAGCAGATGCAGGTCAATTCGTCATTCTCCTCTTCCATGAAATCGACTAGACGAGAGCTCGGAACTTCGATCTCAGCCGGGATGACTGCTTCCATTCCATAGACCAAGGAAAAGGGGGTAGCGCCTGTGGCAGTTTGCATGGTCGTCCTGATGGCCCAGAGAACATGCGGAACTTCTTCTGGCCATCCGCCCCCAGCTTTATGCAACCGCGTCCGGATACCTTGTAAGATGGCCCTGTTGATGTTTTCACCCAAGACATTGGCCTCGGGTGCGCTACAACGGCAAACCTCCTTTCTATATTCATCTCTTCACACCACCTCGGGAAGGTCCCTGATTCGAACTGCGTCTCCTTGTCCAAGATGAGTATCTTTGGGATTCCAAACCGACAGACAATGTCCTTCCTAAAAAAGCAGGATACGGCCTCTCCCGAGATCGATGGTGACAATGACCCATTTGGAAAAGTAGTCGATGGTGACAATGAGATGATACAACTTTCTCAGTGCCATAGTGAAAGGCTCGAGGATGTCTACACCCCACTTTTAAAAGGTCCACGGACTATCAATGGGAACCAACTCGTGCTGAGGAAGTCGAGATATCAGGGCATGCTTCTAACAGTGGGTGCATTTGAGGACGAGTTCGAAGCAATCCATGGCCATGGTTGGCCAATAATACCGGCTTCTGAGAAGTCTTTGTGCTAAGTTCCGAGCTCCCAGGTGAACTTCACTTTCATGCATGCTCCGGATTAACGGGTTGGCCTCGTCTGGAGGGACACACCGATATAGGGGGGACAAGTATCCATGCCTGTAAAGGTTGCCATCCCTCAATAAGTAGTTTGGCGCCTTTAACTTGATTTTTCGGGCTTCATTAGGATCGGGAGGCAGTACTCGATCCCTCAGGTATCGGACATAGGGCATCATCCACGTCTCACCTTCTTCCACAGTTACCATGACTTTATTATTTTCGACGCTATTTCGGGGAAGGGTCTCAACCAAGACACACTGGGTTAGATGAGCGAACGCGGACGATGCCAGCTTACTGAGGGTGTCGGCCCTTTTGTTCTGCGACCTCCGAATGTATTGGATCTTGAATCGAGCAAACTTGCTACTCAACCTCCAAACTTCATCCAGACACTTTTGTAAAGAGGCTTCATGAACTTCATACAACTCCAACACATGATTGACAACTACCAACGAGTTGTTATAATCTAAAACTGATTCGGCCTTCATCTCGAGGGCAAGCTTTAACTCAGCTATGAGAGCTTCATACTCGGCTTCATTGTTGGTGATAGGAAACTCTAGTTGGAGAGCGTAAGTGATTTCGGACCCGTGGGGGTCGACCAGAATGAGACCTGCTCCCGAACCAGAACTTGCAGACGATCCGTCAACATACAACTGCCACACGTTATCCGGGGGAGGTTCTTCTCTTAACTGTAAGACTCCTGGGTCGACCTCCAGGGGTTCAGCTTCTCCACGAGGAACCTCAATAAGGAAATCAGCAAAGGCTTGCGCCTTGATGCCCGTCCGAGGCTCGAATTTGATCTCGTGTTGACCTAGCTTGATTGCCCACTTAGTCATCTTTCCTGAGATCTCCGGCTTCCTTAGCACCTGATGTATTGGTTGGTCAGTTTGCACGCTAATGGTATGGCCTGAAAGTAGGGCCGCAACTTTCGGCGGCCACGACCAAACAAAAGACGACCTTCTCCACCAAGGTGTAGCGAGCTTTTGTCCCGTGAAGTGCTTTACTGACAAAGTATACTGGCAACTGACGATCCTTGAGGTCCCGGACAAGGGCGGCACTCAAAGTGGTCTCCCCTACCGCCAAGTAAAGAGATAAGACTTCCCCCGACTCGAAAGTCGTCAGGGTGGGGAGAGACTTCAAATGCTCCTTTAACCGTGCGAAGGCGGTCTGACATTCTTCATTCCACTCGAACGACTGGGACTTTTGTAACACCTTGAAGAAGGGTAGACCCTTCTCAGCAGCTTTAGACAAGAATCGTCCCAACACAGCCATCGACCCTGTTAACTTTTGCACTTCTTTGACGGACCGAGGTTCCCGCATGTCAAGGACGGCCTGCACTTGATTGGGTCTACATCTATCCCACGTTGCGAGACCATCACGCCCAGGAACTACCCAATCCTACGCAAAAAATGCACTTCTTCGGACTAAGCTTTATGTTCACTCGGCGCAGAGTCTTGAAGGTTTCCTCAAGGTCATCCATGACCGACGATAAGCGAACACTCTTCACAACCATATCGTCAACATAGATTTCCATGTTGCGTCCCATCTATGTGCGGAATGCTCTATTGGCCATCCACTGGTACGTGGCTCCTGTATTCTTCAGTACGAATGGCATCTTTTCACTGCAGTAGATTCCATGGTCGGTGATGAATGCGGTCTTCTCGGCGTCTTCCTCGGCCATGAGGATTTGGTGGTATCCCTTGTAAGCATCGAGAAAGCACAAAACCGGATATCCGGCTATAGCGTCGATCTTTTGTTCGATGGCAAGCAAGGGATAGCAATCCTTCAGGCAATGCTTGTTGAGATCGGTACAATCCACACACATCCTCTACGATAAGTCGGGCTTCTTCACCATAACTAGGTTGGCCAACCAGGTCGGGTAGAGGATTTCTCTAACCACGGACGCGGCCAACAACTTGGCGACCTCAACATCAACTGCTGTGCTCCTCTCTGGTGCCATCTTCCTCTTCCTCTGCTGAATTGGATGGGCGCTGGGGTCCACGTTAAAATGGTGGATACCTAGTTCATCGGGGATCCCCGTCATGTACGACGGCTCCCACGCAAAGACGTCCTGATATTCTTGAAGTAGCCGAACCACCATCTCTCGAAGGCTGGGGGGTAAGACGCGTCCAACCTGGATGACCCAGCCTTCTATATATGGGTTGATTGGAACGACGTCATATTCATCATCAGGTTCTACATCCTCTGCTTCTGGTTCCTTGGTCCACCTTCTGGTGTACTAGGGGTCTGTCTCACGGACCATGTTGACCTCCGACGCCTTCATCACTAGTTATTTTCCTTTTTTCATTGCGACGACCATGCACTACTTGGCCATCTGTGGATTTTCTCGAACCTCCGCTATTGTGGCAGGTGTTGGAAATTTCTTGATCAGATGATAGGGGGAGTAAACAACTTTGGTTTTGCATATCTAGGGTCGACCCAATATGATGTTAAAAGGGGTGACCAAGTCCACCAGAGCAAAGTCGCACATCACTGTCTTTAGCCGAGGATGGCTTCCTACAGTCATAGCAAGGGTAATTACACCTAAGGGCATAATCATATGATTGGAGAAACCTACCAGCAGCGTCGGAGCCGGTCGGAGCATAACTCGATCAAGGCCGAGTTTCTGGAAGCAGTCATAGTACATGATGTCCACTGAGCTCCCATTGTCCACGTACATGCGCTGCACCACCCGATTGGCGAGAATGGCTTCGATCACAAGCGCATCTGATCCTTTAGCTACATTAAGGACGACATCTTGGTCAGAGAAGGTGATTTCTTATGAAACCTTCAACCTTTTGCCCACATCCTCTCCAGGGGTCGAGGTTGAGCATCACGTTTTAACCCTGGCATACTCTGAACAGCAAGGCATGCCCCGAATATAGCCCCAACAGGGGCAGTTAAGATTTTCTGAGCCTGCGCCTAGTCCTCTGCCTTATCTGTTACCTCGACCTCGGTTTTTGCGAGCGGATTCTTGGCGTCGTTTTTCTTCCATTTTTGGTTTCGCCTACCCTTAAAGCCTGCATTCCCGCTCCCGGTCTTCTTGAGATATTGTTAAAATTTGCCCACCTTTGAGACCCTCTTCGGTCTGCTGCTGGAGGTCCCGATAGTCTTCAGTGTCATGGCCCTTACCTTGATAGAATTGACACCACTCACCGGATGATCCGATGTTCTTTGTCTATGAGGAGGTTTTTGAATTCGCCTTTGTGGATCTGTAAGATTTCTTTTTGGGTCTTGGTGAGTGGGGTCAGCTTGGCTTCGTATTTAGGGGCATTGGCTGTCATCCTCCGCTCCTCGGGCTTCTTTTCCTTCCTATCTCGTTGGAAGGCTTCTCGAGCTCTCCAGAGCGATTCTTCCTTGCGAACCTCCTTTTCGACTATCTCCTAGAGCTTTTGGGTACTCTCGGCTGCTTGTCAATAAGCTTTCCCCGAAGAGTAGCCATCGAACCAAAGGGAGAGAGACCGTTAACAAATTCTACTCAGACGACAAGGTCATCTATCTGGTCAATGAGCATCAACTCCTTGTTAAACCGGTCATAGTATTGGGCCAAGATCTCATTTTTCCCTTGATGCACAGATGCCAGTTCGTGGATGGACTTGGAGGTATTCTTACTGGAAAAGAATCAGACATGAAGCATTTGACCCAACTCCTGGTACGAACCCATACTCCCTGGAGGCAGACTTTCAAACCACGTTTTGGCCCTGTCGGTGAGAAAAGTTGGCAAGGCCTTGGCCATAAGTTCCCGAGACGCGCACTGCAGGTCCATAGCTACAGTATAGTCGGCCAGGAAGCTGACGTGGCACGACTCTCCTCCATACTTCTTTATATCTTCGGGCAATTTGAAGTTGTCAGGCTTGGTGCAAATTCGGAAATGCTCCGCAAAGGGGCTCTAACTAATCTCCTGCCCTCCGAGAATAGTCTCTAATCTTGGGTCAATCCCCGGAATAACAGGGGGTGGACTCTCATCCACCACAGGGGTGACGAGTCATGGAGTTTCTCGGACACCGGAGCGTTTAGCTGCAGGCTCATCCCTTCTGTCCTCGGATGGTCGGTGTGACCTTCTCCCCCACGCTGCAAACTGGCGCTCCGACCCCGATCTTTCCTTCTGTAGTAGTCCTCCTTGAACCGACGAATCTTCTTTCGGACCTCCGGATATTTGTCGGACAGGGCCTTCCAAAAATCTGGATCGCGACCATGGTCAGAAGGTCGGTGAGATTTAGCAGCCCCGGACGGTTGACAGGAATGTTGACGCTCGCGATCATCTTCCTTATCATGATGAGAGTGACCGCGCCTCCGTTCCGAATGTCTTTGCGAGTGAGCTTTCATGTCTCCTGTTCGGGACGTGCGGTCGTCCTCCCGGTTCTCCTCGAGAGTCCTTCTTGGCGAGCGCCTGGCTAACTCTCTCTCTACTTCAGATCTAACGGTAGGCGCCGGCTAGTGCCTTCCTCAGGTCTCGCCCTAGTAGAGACCATAACTCTCGTAGAGCTCTTGGGCTCACCCTCGACTAAGTATATCCCTCCCCACAGTCGGCTACACTTGACAAAGGCAAATACCGATGACAGCGAGTCAACAGTCAACTAGGAAGGAGACCTGCAAGATAAGGGTTAGCGTTTCGATGCCAAAGTTAGTCTAGTGAGAAAAATAAAATAAATACACACTTAGAGAGAGAATGAGAAGTGTGAATTTACTCCCTGAAATAAATATTTTGGGGTATATATAGTTCACTATTTAGAAAATGTCCAAAAGACAGACCCATGTGAGACCCGTATAGGACCCATGTGTCTTTGGGCCATTGAGCCTGTGTCTTTAAGAGCCCAATGGGATCTTTAAATGGACTATGGTGGAAAATTTGCTTCATCACCTCCCCAAGCTAAACTTTATTTGTTTGCCTCAGCAAAAACCTCCCCCACGTCGTCTGCTTATTTGGTTCTTGTTGCTTTGTATAATTGTCTTCATATACACTATGATTTTATATTGGTGGAATATTTTGGAATATCGCTAGTCTTCTGGTGGTTGAGTCCTTGTGGAGATGATGATCATGATATATGTGATGCAACAAAGTAGGAAATTTTCCAATCTGTAAGAAAAGGATACAAACTAATTACTACAAAGTTTTTTGAATTGGATCTCGTCTTGAAGAAATAGGATACAGTAGTAAACTCTTAAGTCTTTCACCCATCAAACTAAATGAATTTTGATCAATTGGTCTAATTATGTAGAACTCTCGTCCTTATTATTATAAGGCATTTTGATCTGTTTTAAGTTTTATTTAGTATGTTATTCAAATGCAAAATAAATGTTTATTTTAAAAATATTTTATCAAATTTATTATGTTCGTCCATCACTGTAAAATATTTTTAAAGTTTTATTTTCAATTAAAAAGACATATTAAATGAAATTTAAGAAGAATTAAAATGTCTTATAATAAGGATCGGAGTCTAAACTCAATCAAATGGTAATGTTGATCTAGTAATGAACATTTAATCAATCTCTCTTACCGATTTTTTTTTTTTTGATAATATAAAAATGATCCTCATAAAACATTGAGCTCGACAAATCATAACCGCGATCTTTATAAAGAAATTAGACGAGATGTTTAAGTCTTAATGGAGATTCAATTATTAGGCAAGAAGTATCTGTGCTGGGTTTTTGTTGATGGCTTAGTGGGTACTCCATTTTACCAAGTTTTATGCCATGATTTTAGTTAGTCTCAAAATCAATAACAAGAGATTCAAAGAAAGTTGAACCTTCATGCAGGATCAAAATACAATAATTAATCCAACCGGATACTAAATACATTATTACACTAATAAAATTTGTAGCCCAAAAAAAAACCAAAAAAAAAAAACAGACCAAAAAAATTCAAATCATTGTACTTCCAGTGCTTTGAATTTATTCTCAACTAATTAAGGATGTTTCTAATTAGTCCAACTTAATAATTAAGGATGGATTACGTTAATTAGTTGTACTTCTCGCTCTCTCTCTCGATCGAAAAAAAAAAGAAGAAAATATTCCCTTACTTTTTCATTAAAGTCTAATCCTAATTCCTAACGGTTGATGGGAGCTTCCTCCATGTATAGAAGCATTAAGAAATAATGTTTTGTTGGATTTAATCAAGAACTTTTTTTTACCCCTGCAAGAATACAACTTACAAAAAAAAAACTTAAAGAATAAAAACATTTAGTGAATGATTTGGTGTATTAATTTATGCAATAAATAAATTCATGTATTTATAAAAAAGGATTGATCCATTTCAAAAGTGGGGTTTTCCATTCGGCTAATAAATGGAACTAAATACAAGTATTATTATATTACTTAAATAAATTGAAAGACAGAAGTTAGTGGGAAACATACCAAAAGAAACCAAAGTGTAGAAAAGTGCAGGTGCAGCCAAAGAGAAAAAGAAAAGGGAATTAAAAACAATGGAGAAACCAATATTTAAATCGCCATTTTGTCTTGAAAGAAAAAAGGAAAATTAAACAAGAAACGGTTTTCAGTATAATTTTATGATTATCATTTTTCAGTATATATGAGAAGCTTCAAAAAAGAAAATAATTAGATACATTATTATAGCAATAACCACCGTCAGTATAGAGCTTTTGTTTTTCAAAACAAAACCCATTTTGGTCATTTTCTACTTCACATCAAATGTGAAATGGAAATAGTTAAGAAGCAAAAATCATCACAATGTATTTAATTAAACAATTTTCATAAGCTTGACCCTCACTTAATTATTGTGTATAGAGGAACAAAATAATTATCAATTGGTTGTAACTAAAATATTCACCTAATAAACCACTACCAAATAAACCCCCAAAAAAAAAAGAAGAGGAGAAAAATCATGAATTCATGGCATTCTTTTTGGAGGTATTCAAAATTAAATCATCAAACCACATCATCATTTCTCTAAAGTTCAAAGTTTGAAATAAATGTCATTATCAAGACAGCTTAAATCAACATACAGCACCCAACTCATCATCAGCTTTTCTGTGAAGCAGACATCATGTGACTATCAAAGCCCCTCGTATCCAACCTTGTCACGCTTCTTTGGTTTTTTTTTTTCCCTTATTTTTTAAAAAATAAGTATACACACACATACACATATATATATATATTCATACTTCTTCCGTTTTAAAATAATTATTTAACTTTATAATTACCCTATCACTTTAGTGGAATTATGTATTAAATATGTTTAAAAAAATAATAAATCAAACAATTATCTTGGGAGGGGTAATATATTTTGTTTTCTCTAGTGGATTTCCATAACATATTACCACGATCTTAGGCAAACCCAATATACAATCACTTCCATTACGTAAACTTTTTTTTTTCCCTCCAAGTTGTCCTCCCCAACACTCTATATATATGTACTTAGTGTTTCATGCATTTTGCCTAACAATTTCTCTTCTCCCTTCCAAAAATAGACCACCCCTTCCTTATTTCTTCTCCTATGATAAGATTTTAAACTTCCAATCCTTAAGCCATTTTCTGCAAAGAATCCAAAGCTCCCCTGTAAAAAGAAATGTCTTGCTTCAACCTTTCCAAAGTGGTAAGTGAATTTTCTCCTCTCCCGGTTTTCTTTAATCCTCACTAAAAAAAAACGGGCTTTAGTTACTAGTTCATCTCCTATATACAAATCATAATTCCAATCCATGCAAAGTCTCCTCATTGTTTGTTCTTAGTTTAGTTTGTTGAATTTCTAGTGTTTTGGTTCATTTGTCTAAAACAATACAGAGAATGTTTCGGATTCATAGATACGTGAGTTTATTCAGTCATAAGATCCTCGAGTAATCACAAAAAGAAACAAAAATGTATATGTAGGCTTTCTTGTTGTTGTTTATGTTTTTTTTTTATGTTCGTCAAATTAGGAGGGGAAGAAAAGGAAAAGAGGGGGAAAAAAAAATTTAAATGCACGTACGTCGAAGGTCGATCATTTTGATGGATGGATCCCGTGTTAGGCAGAAAGTTGGTAGTTAACTTGTACTAATTTAATAAGCATGTTTTGCATGATGATCCGCCAGAGTTTCTGTTGAAAATGATGATGAATTAAAATCATACTATTTCTCAACTATTGTCAAATAAACAAAATAGTGAGTTGTCACAAAATTATGATTGGTGGAACTAATAATTTAAAAAAAAAAAAGTCGTATACGTTAGCTTTATTCCACTTTTCAGATATTAATGGTTTGGTCTGGTTAACGTAGGAGAATGAATGATCCAATCATATAGTTCCGGAGATACTAAAAATATCAGGGTGATCAGTTCCATAGTTATCCCTCGTCTTTCTAGCATTCTAGCTCCAAGGTTGTGGACCTTGTGGTAATAAAATGTCCTTTATAGAGTTTTAATTACATGTCGTCCAATAATATTTTTAGGACGAAATATTACAATATGCATTTTAAAAAAAAAAATAGATGGCCTCAGTGAGAATCGAACTCTCGACCTCTTGATAACAACTATCCTTCATCCTAATCCCCTAACCACCCTGCCCATCCCTCCCATCCCAATATTACAATATGCATATTATAAAACTAGACTAAAGTTTTTACTTATGAATTATAATTAGCCCAACTTTTTTTCTTTTTTTTTTAATTTTCTTCCTTTGTTACAATTCACTCAGCTGATCAGAATAATAATTTGATGGTATTATTTGCTTTTTCAGCATGAAATGGAGAAGAAAAGAACAGTGGATCGCAAGATCGAATGCACCTTAGATGGCAGCGTCGATCGGCGTGGCCAGCCTGCAGTTCGTGAATCCTCTGGAAAATGGTTTGCTGGCAACCTTTTACTTTGTAAGTCCAAATTCTTTTGTTCTTGTTGTTCCTCTATAATTTTTAGGTCATTTTCATCCCGATCCTCCCTAGCTAGTTGGGTTGTCGCGTCTGTGGCTATTATAACTTCGTAATATTAATGATATGTACTTTTAGTGCACCTTAAAAAAAAATAAAAATAATAATAATAATAATATACATATGGTTTAAGTACATCTACCACATAATCTTTTAGTTCATCATGCATAAATTTTGGTTCTTCACACAGAAAATTTTTTCAAATATCACAAACTTTAGTTGCAGTTCTGACAATAATGAAAAAATAAAAACCGAGTCAATTGATCCAAATCGTGGCTGACTCACATACTGAGGACCCAATTTTGACTCGAAATGAAACGATAACTATAATTTAGACCCCAAAACAAGAAACAAAGGCACATTTGAAACACCGAGTTAAAAAGAAACTATAAATTATACTGGTTTGAAGAAATTAATGAACATGTACAATATCTATGATGATCTTAATTAATGATTAATTTTTTATTTTATTTTTTGTGTGCAGTGAACCAAGGACTAGTAACTCTAGCATTCTTCGGGGTAGGAGTAAATCTGGTACTGTATTTGACCCGAGTCATGGGTCAAAACAACGCTGATGCCGCCAACAACGTGAGCAAATGGACTGGCACCGTTTATGTCTTTTCACTCCTTGGAGCTTTCCTCAGTGATTCTTACTGGGGCCGATACAAAACCTGCGCTGTTTTTCAAGCCATTTTTGTCCTTGTAAGTTAGCTTTGCTTTGATTGTGCATTGAAAAGAAGCCCAAAAAAGTGACCAAATAAAGAGTATGATTATTGAATGTGTTTGTTGTTTTTCAGGGATTAGTGTCATTATCAATATGTTCAAACATTTTCTTGGTCAAGCCTAATGGCTGTGGGACAGATGATGTTTCCTGCGGATCTCACAATGGTTTCCAGCTTGCGTTTTTCTACCTTTCCATCTACTTGATTGCTCTTGGATACGGAGGTTATCAACCTAATATTGCAACATTTGGAGCTGACCAATTTGATGAAGATCACCCCAAAGAAAGCCACTCGAAAGTGGCGTTTTTTAGCTACTTTTACTTGGCCCTGAATTTGGGATCTCTGTTTTCCAACACGGTTCTTGGGTATTTTGAAGATGAAGGGAGATGGGGGATTGGGTTTTGGTCATCTGCCGGATCGGCTGCGGTTGGGTTGCTGTTGTTTGTTGTCGGAACGCCGAGGTATCGGCATTTTATCCCACAGGGAAATCCACTTTCCAGATTCTGTCAGGTTGTTGTTGCTGCTGCCCGGAATTGGAAAGTCCAGTTGCCATCCAGTGGGGATGGATTGTATGAAATTGATGGCAGGTTGCAAGATGATAATAGCTCTGATCGAAAGCTACTTCACACTGAAGGATTCAGGTTGGCGATTTTTTAATATACCGTCACGTTAGTCACTATCTCATTTCAGGCCCTGATTTAATCTTAGTTCATTTTCTTCAAATATAACAGATTCTTGGATAGAGCAGCTGTAATTACATCGAAGGAATTCGAGGAAGAAGACAAAAAGTCTTACAATCCATGGCGATTGTGCACCGTAACAAAAGTGGAAGAAGTCAAGTGTGTGTTGAGATTGCTTCCGATTTGGCTCTGCACCATTCTCTACTCTGTTGTCTTCACTCAAATGGCTTCCCTTTTCGTCGAGCAAGGCGCCGCCATGAGGACGACGGTTTCCGGCTTCCACATCCCCCCGGCGAGCATGTCCAGCTTCGACATTCTCAGCGTCGCGGCCTTCATTTTCATATACAGGCGGGTCCTGGATCCCCTGGTGGCCCGCCTGAGGCGAAAATCCAACCCCGGAGGAATAACCGAGCTCCAGCGAATGGGAGTCGGGCTAGTCATCGCCATAATGGCGATGGTCGCAGCTGGAATTGTGGAGCACTTCAGGCTTATGAACGCCCGGAAAGATTGCTCGCAATGCGAAAACTCGAGTAGTCTAAGCATTTTCTGGCAAGTTCCGCAATACGTGCTCATCGGGGCATCTGAGGTTTTCATGTATGTTGGACAGCTGGAATTCTTCAATGATCAGACACCTGATGGTTTGAAGAGCTTTGGAAGTGCATTGTGTATGACTTCCATATCATTGGGGAATTATGTCAGTAGCTTGCTAGTCACCATTGTTATGAAATTTTCGACATCGGATCGGATGCCTGGATGGATCCCTGGAAACCTCAACAGAGGTCACCTGGACAGATTTTACTTCCTCTTGGCAGCACTGACAACTGCTGATTTTGTGGTCTACCTGATTTGTGCCAAATGGTACAGATATATCAGGTTTGAAGGCAGGAATTTGACAAATGATGATGATCAATCGGCTGATACACAGGTCTAGATGATCAGTTCCAAAACATTTATTGATTCTAAGGAGGGAAGTGATCAAAGATCATGAAGAAGATTGGTTGAGTCTGTGTTCTTGAGCAGAGAGGAAGAGGCCGGATTAATCGAAGGGCTAATTATTGATTTGTGTAAAAGTTAGAAGGCTTCATTGGAATAACTCAATTTGATGAATTTATTCGTTGGGTTGCGATGAAAGTAGAGATGATTAACCAGATTGAATTTAGGGGAAGTTTGATTATCTCTACATTTGAGCACCGAATTATTATTTGTGTATTGAAGCTGATTTTCCTTTTGGGAATAATATATGTAATATATATTTCAACCCTTATCAAATGTCTCTTAGTAGACAATGTATGTGTCGCGGGTGTATTGTTACTTGCAATCTAAACAAAATTACGTTTTGCTTTTACTTTTTTACCATCAAATTATCAAAATTTCCTTTGGCCCTTCTTTAAATTTTTTTCCCAAACTTTTTTTTTTTGTGTATGTTGGAATATGGTAGGTGAGATGAGATTTGCAAAAAGATAATTATTATCTAATAATATCTTCCGTTATAATTACTTGTGACAATTTCATTTGGTTTCGATATTATTCATAGAATTTTTGTGCGTACATATGTTGTATAGCCTAAGCATCTCACCATAGAAATGAGATTATTCACAGTAGCGAATCTAGAACAAATTCTTACCGGGGGCGTCATTAATATATTAACAAAAAGAATTTTATAACAATATCACATAGATATTGATCACAACAAATATTTTTATTTTGATGACATTGTTGAACTGCTTTCATCATATTATAAATGCGTCCTATGATATTGTTTTTAACACAAAAATTAAACAAGACATCATACAAAAGTATTTGATACACGAGTACATATTATTGTATTCGTAGCTAAAAACTCTTTCTACATCTATTACTTTAATAGGCAAAATCATCATCTTTTTTATTAAAATTGTTCAACAAAACCCTTAATTATACCATGTATATGTACACAAAGAAAAAGAAAAATAAAAAGAAGAATCTTTTCGAACACATGATGAGTATTTAAATTATAGAATAAGAAAAGTTTGTTAAAATTGAATGATTTTAAATATATACTACTATTTTATTACACGAATTTATGCATCATGAATATAATTATAATTCACAATGGCTTGTTATTTTATTTGATTTTTTTTAATAATATACGTATTAATACAAATTCACTTCTAATGTCGACTATATTTAATCAATCCAAAATTGAATTAAGAGAAAGTAAATTAAGCAAGAGAGATAAGAATTGCATAAACATCAATTACAATTATTATAATTATTAATTATATTAGTTATTAAATTAAACTTATTAAAAAAATATAAATAATATAAGGCTTCAAGTGGGTCCAGTGGGGGCCAAGGCCCAGTGGCCCCCATTGTATATCCGCGAGTGATTATTCATAAACTTTATTGTTATATGTTTTACTTATTTTATTATTTAAAATCGTAATTAGCACGTTACATTACAAACAAGGAAAAAGTTGTGTGACTAACTGACTATATTAGCTTGAAATTTAACCTTTAACAAACACTTCGATTACCCTCACTTTATATTTACAAAAATGAAATAATTACAGCAATTCAATAAAAAAAAGATTGGGGGGTTAGGAATCTGGAGGAGATAAAAAGAACAAAATCAAAACTCAAAAGCAAACAACCATCACGACTTCTGCATTAATACACGCCTTTGACTTTGATCTTCTTTTCGTGAATTCGTCTTTGTCATTTACCAGGACTAATCTTTTCATTCCTCGAAGGTCCCCGAGCGCCACCGCGACTCAGCCCTCAGGCGAAACAGAAACCTCTTCGCCGCCTCCCGGAAAATTGTTCACGCGCCGGACGTCTGAGCCATGTGGAGAAACTCAGTGAGTTTCTCAGCCAAACTCGTTTCTTCCTCGACCCTCAAGAATGTAAAATCCCCATTTGGTCACTCTATTGATAGCTACAATTATGCCATCGGGAGCACAGTTTTCCACTCTCAATTTTACTCGGCGACATCAACCACCGTTGCCTCATCCGCCGTTGAATCCATCAAATCGGAGGCTGGTCGGGCACTCGGATCCACTGTACTCGATACGAAGTCGTTGTCCGCGTTTTCTGCCTCCAAATTGCGAGATGCCGCTAGATATTACGGCCGCTGTTACTTTGAACTCTCTAAAGCTCGACTCAGGTTAGTTTATGTGGCAATTCTGCTCCCTATTTTAACGATCCTTTCTCCCGGTTACCTGCTTGGATGCATTTTTTACTGGTTCACTCTTGTTGATTTGCTGCTGTCAAGGTTGCCTATTGCATCTTGGTGCTTTTGGTTCATTGTTCTATCCATGGTTTATTTTCAACTTTTTGTATATTTATTATAGTGCTAAAATTACTGGATGAAGCTAAATAATTGATTAAATAATCTTCGTTGAAATGATTTGGGATGAGGTTGGATGAATTGTAAAAACACAATAAAGCCATATGTATTGAAGAAAAAAGAAAGTTTGCATTTTGACGAAATTATACAATTCAAAATATTTCAAAGTATTTATATTGTAGAAGTTCTAAGTCGACCCTGTCACTTATCATCTGTTTGGCTGTGATTTTTAATATAACGTTTCTAGATGGAGCTAGTTCAGTTCTTCATGTTTACTTCTGTTATTGTATCTTTCTTTGTATTAATGTATATAAATAGAGGACTGGGAAAGTTGTTAACCTTTGTTTGTTGTAATTTCCTTCAGCATGTTAGTTGTTGCTACGTCGGGTACTGGGTATATCCTTGGAAGTGGCAGTGCTATTGATTATGTCGGATTGTGTTGCACATGTGCCGGTACAATGATGGTGGCAGCGTCAGCCAACACCTTAAATCAGGTTTGTGCTTGGCATTAATGTCAGTGTCTTACTTGTTTGTTATTTGAGATGATACAAATTCATATTTTCCTGGCATCTTATTTCCCTCTCTTTTGCCTGTTTCTCCCCTTACTGATGTAGCCAAAGGATAGCGGTTTAGACCTCTGTTTGGTTTGAAAGAGGAATATTTGAAGTCTAATGGTTAATATAGTTTGAGTGTTGAGTTAATTTTGGGACTTCTCTTGCTGAGTATCGTGTGCTGTGAAGAAATGTACTTGGTTCAAAGTATTTAGTATATTGGTTAAAACAAAATGCTTTTGGAAACTAGGTTATGCTAAATGGCTTTAAAGAAAAAAAACTGATATCTGGGTAACAAATATGAGTACATGATATAGCAAGAGAATTTCTTGACATCTGTTCCTGTTTCTGAAATATTTTTTTGGCCCCAGAGAAGTTGTTGAGTTATTGTAGATTTTAGGGACTTTTGATGCTGAGTATGGTGTGCTTTGGGGAAATGTATGTGGTGGAAATAATTTAATTATTGGTATTAGATTATGATGCTTTTCAAAAAAAGGTTATGCATGCTGGCTTCAAGGAGAGAAAACTGATATCATTGATAGCAAATATGAGTGTATAAAACAAGACATTTTTTTGGCATCTGTCATTTCTGAAATCTTTTTGTGGCCCAAGAGAAGCTGCTGAATACACATAGCGTGTTTGACTTGCAGCAAATGACTTTGTGTTTTAGTCGGAAAGGCAGACTTCATTTCTGCAAAATTTTCTAAAATGATAGGATGACAACAGAGGAAGTAACAGGCTTCATGTAAATTTAGGACATAAGTAGTGGCAGGTTGTCAATGTTGTGCATCTTTGTTGCAGTCGAAATGTACTTCTTACTTATTTCTTGTCTTAAGTAGACTCAATGATTACTCATTTTTATTCTGAAATTTTTGTTAGGTTTATGAAATAAAAAATGACTCCCTTATGAAGAGAACCAGGAACAGACCGTTACCTTCTGGTCGTCTTACTGCTCCTCATGCCATCACCTGGGCTGCTTCTGTCGGTTTTGCTGGCACTGGTTTATTAGCTTGGCAGGTGGTTGAATAATCTAAACCTCGTGACTTTTTGGTTTATGTGAATGTCATCTCATTGATGGAGTTATTGATGTTGTGTCTTACATGACAAGATTTTTGCAGACTAATGCATTGGCTGCTGGGCTTGCTGCCTCTAACCTTGTCCTCTATGCATTTGTGTACACTCCCCTGAAGCAAATTCATCCAGTAAATACTTGGGTCGGTGCTGTTGTTGGTGCTATTCCTCCTCTTCTTGGGTAGGCTCTATTTACAACTTCTGTTCATAGTTGTTTAATTCTCCTTGTTTCTAGGCCCTTAAGCTTACTACAATCTTCTAAAAGGGAAACTAAGTAACAGAATAATTTCTTTGTCATGGTAAACGGAAGACAAACCTTGATGAGTATCTGAGTCCAGTTCCTCTGGCAGCTGTTCTCCTTTATCTGTTTTAAATGTCCATTGATTTTGCAAATAAGCCATGAGAGATCAACATAAATGGATCTCATTGGGGAAAGATTCTGTGCTGGTCGCAATTTTCGTAGAGAGAAGCATGCTCTGGTGGATTGATGTATGATTTTCCGTAATTTTATGACCTAGATGCTGTTGCCGAAGCTTGCCTTTCTTATAAATGTTGGACCAAAATGAGTGTGCTAACAACTGATATGTACTCCCTCCGTCCCGCAATGATTGTTCAGTTTTAATTTTTACATATGGAATTTCAAACTCAACAATCATTGTGGGACGGAGGGAGTATTATTTAATGTTTTTGACCTGATCTTCTCAATTCTCATAGAGCCAGGGTAAGAAAAATCCCAAAGCTACACCCATTTAGGATGTTGACTAAGCAGCAAATTTGCAAGTTTGTCATTTTATTTGTCTGCACCGTCTTCCTAACTTGCTTATAATAATTTTCTGGTTTTAAATTTGATCAATTAGGTGAGTTTAATTTTGCCTTTAGATTGTTTTTGGATCACACTTACATTTTGATACATAATTTAGGTGGGCAGCAGCCGCTGGTGAAGTTACACTGAAATCTATGATTCTCCCTGCTGCTTTATACTTTTGGCAAATACCTCATTTTATGGCCCTTGCATATTTGTGTCGGAAAGACTATGCAGATGGAGGGTAAGTACCATGCTTTCAGTTACCGTATGAGTGTGTATAAAACTACCAGAGAATATGTCATGATTTAATGTCCTTTATGTTGCTGTGATTATTTTCCATCCAAATTATGTCGTCCTTATTGGTCAACGAATATCTAGTTTGTGATGATAGTTTGATACTTATGTTTTCTGAAAATGCTGACAACTTGATGTAGCTTTAAGATGTTGAGATGTTCAAGGGAAGACATAATTTTCGTGACATAAATTGTGTTCCCTGCAGTAAATAATCTTCGTCCAATTTTGCAGACTAATGTTATTTACTTTAGCTTGTCTGCTTCAGGCCGTTACTTGGGTTTTAATTGGTTAAATTCAGTTATACTGTTACTTTTAATTGCTAATCAATTGTGGCCAACAGGTTTAAGATGTTCTCCCTTACTGATGCTTCTGGTCGGAGAACAGCCATGGTTGCCTTGAGGAATTGTTTGTATCTGCTTCCATTGGGTTACCTAGCCTATGACTGTGAGTTTTGTGACTAAGCTGGTTCTGCTTGTATTTATTTATTTATTTATTTTTTGGTCGAACTCTGCTTGTATTTTTTTCCGTTCAATGAATGGTAAATATATCGATACAAAAACCTCACTTGCAACATGAACTATCTTAATCACTTTTCACTTGGACTTTCTAAAATGATTTTTATGACCTAGCAGATCCAGACTAATTAAGTCTTGTCTGCAGGTGGAATAACTTCTAGCTGGTTCTGCTTCGAATCAACAATCCTTGCTCTAGCAATAAGTGGTACCGCCATGTCTTTCTACCTTGATCGCACAACAAAGAGTGCTAGGAGAATGTTCCACGCTAGCCTGTTGTACCTTCCTGTATTTATGTCTGGGCTTCTGTTACATCGGCAGTCTGGAAACCAGCAGTATCAAAAGGTTGACAATTTGCACAAATCTTTTGATACATCTGCATCCTCAGAACTGATGGTGGATGAGACTGACACTAGCAACGAGCCAAGAAGGTCCAAGAGTAAAAGTGCTGGTCCTCGAGGAAGACCGCCTGTGGCGTATGCATCAGCTGCACCATTCCCCTTCTTACCAGCTCCAACATATGTACCGCACTGAGATAGCGAATTTTGATCTCCTTTTTTTCTTTTCTTTTTTTCCTTTCTTTTTCAATAATGATTTGGTCGGTGTATAATATTTGCATCTGTTTTTCTCCTTAAACGTTTTTTTGTGGATATAGACAAGAAAAAGAGCTTCTTATAACTCACTCTCCACCCAACAGAAAGGAAATTAATGCCATGCTTATGGTTTTTCCCTTAGACTGCATCAGATTTGTCCCCCATCTAAAATTTGGGACAGTAAATGTTAGGTTCATACCATTCATTGTAAAAGTACATGTACTTGTGATGATCATGAAGTTACTATGATGGATTACGACTCCGACATTGATATGGCCTGTGTCACTGTTGTATTCATTTTCGTATACTGCTCTTCTATATTATTCTCTGTTTCTCAAAGCTGGAACACACTCTCACCAAAAGAACTTAAAGAAATGAGGCTTCAATCATAGAAGCTAGGAGGAATAACTGCACTCCTGTTTCTGAAAATGAGACGGAAGAATTTGTTTCGAATGTTTTCCTCCAGGACAGTCTTCAGCTGCTCAGGCAATGTGGCAAGCTTCTCTCTTGGTGGCTTTTCTTATTGTCAATTTTCTACCAAGATTTGCTGTCAAGTTGTTGAATCAGGCTTTCTCTTCCAGGTTTTCATGATGCAGAAATGGAGATAGGAAGAGGAATTAGTACTCCTTTCTCACTTTGATAAAGAAAGATAGACAGCATTTCCGCTATTGATCGCACCATTAGAAGTCAAGACTGCGGTAAGGCATACTCTGGTTAGTTGAATACAAGTTCCGGCTAAATTGATGAGTTCATTACAAAAATACGTTGTAAAACAGTACAAGAATCTACTCTATATACTAAAAGTAAACAGAACCTAGTCAACACTCAACTCAAAATATGAAGAAAACTAACTTTCGACTAAACGACATATGCTGTTCTCATATGTTCATCATCGAAGCTGGCTCTTAGCAAGTGTAGATGGAATGGAGATTGGCCAAAGTGGAAGTTCGACTAGATAAGGTGGGAGGGAGACAGGTTCAGGTATAAGATCCACTAGGTCAGAATGCATGTCGATGAAAAACCGACGGGGTGATGACAATGGACCAAGTGGTTCCATCTTCTTAGTCTGTAGGTTGCACGACCATATCGATCCTTCCCCATTAGGAGTGCCCCCATCGAGACTCCAGATATGAAATTCACCTCTCTATAATCCACTGCAAACTCCCACGAGACAAACCCAATAAAAGAAATCCCTTTTAGTTTCGGCTGCCGTGGTACAGTAAAATCTATCATAGTTCCATCCTCTTCCACATTCCAGACGAGGGAAAGGTAAACTATGATTGGTACGACGATCTTGGTCAAGCAGTCGGAACCATGACGAGAAGAAAGATCATATCTGGGCAATGTCTTCGTGATAACGGCAGTCTAGAGATATACGGGGAAACGAAGGATCGGAGATGAAAGAAAGCCATTGTTTGGACACGCAGTTGAACCTAAACACATCCTCAACCGGAAGTCTGCATAACAATTTAAATAAAAACCACTCAATCATAACACAATCACTGTCTATAATAAAGAGCAGAACACCCAGAATCAGTTCTCAACTTGAACTCAATATTTTTAGGTGTTTAGTTATCTGTGTTATAAGAGTTCAACTACAATACGATATATTTGAGTTCCTATACAATACTAACTTACTAGTACAACAAAAGTTAGTTTTACACCATTGAGATCATTGTAAAAATTGTGAAATCGTTGTGATGCCAACATTGATTTTTTTTTTTTTTTTTAAAAAAGAAAATTGGCGGTAGTGCTCTCTCATCATGAGCTTTTTCATTTTTCTTTGTTCTCTGAAAGCTGAAAATTTAGAACAAATACAATCACTACAGAAGTGCAAAAATGATGCCTCAATCGTAGAAGCTTAGGAGGAATATAAATGTTCTCCTGTCAGTGAAAATGAGGCAGAAGAATCGGTTCAAAAATATTTCAGTCCGAGGCCGTCTTCATCAGCTCAGTCCACGTGGTAAGCTTCTCTCTTGGCTTGTTCTTCAACCATCCTTGTCTTTTCTCTTCATTGTCAATCTTCTCCCAAGATTCAAACGGAACGTATCTGATGTTTTTACTGTCTAGTAACTGAAGCAGGCCTTCTCTTCCAGGTTTTCGTGTAGAAATGGAGAGAGGAGTTAACACTCCTTTCTCGATATCCTCAGATATACTGTTTACTGTACCTTCAGCACAGTAGAGATTGGTGGCAATGATCCCTGTTGGACCCCTCTTCAACCATCCACAAACATACAACCCCTTCTCGAACTGCTGCAATCCATCAGCAGCTGAGGCATCATCACTTGTAACGCGGCCTTCAATATTTGGCACCACGCCTCTGTTGTGATCAAAGGGTAATCCATCTACAGGTACAGATTTATACCCAATGCTCTTCAGTACCAAACCAGATTGTATCTCCTCGAAATCTCCTGTACCAATCGCAACCTGCTTCCCTCCATTTTCTCTCACAACAGTCTTCTCTAATCGAACACCAGCAACACAACCGCTCCTGGTATCTGATTCTAGGAATCTGTCAGGTTTCCGAAAGAAAACAAAGTTAAGCTGTCGTTCAGCTGAACTAGTGGAGGCTCCTGATGAAGCTGCTTTAGAAAGCAACTCATAAATCCTTCTATGGATCCGATTATTCCTCAGTTCTTCCTCATCGGCAGGGGTTTTTGCAAGGTCGGCTTCATTGATGTTAACAGATAAACCTTTGGTACCAAGAAGCTCTCGTAATTCTTTCGCAGTACAGGCTGCTTGCACAGGCCCTCTTCTTCCAACCAAGTAAACTTTTCTTACACAAGACTCTTCAAGCGCAGCCACAGCATGGCTTGCAATGTCAGTCGATGCTAATTCAGCTGTCGGGCGCAACAGAATTCGCGCGACGTCGAGAGCTACATTTCCCTGACCTAGAACAACAGCAGTATCATTGCTCTTCAAGTCAGGATCCAGCTGGCTGTAATCTGGATGTCCATTATACCACCAGACAAACTCTCTGGCAGAGTAAATACCCTTCAGGTCTTCTCCAGGTACACCAAGAACCCTGTCACTTTCAGCACCATAGGCAAGCACAACCACATCATAGAAATCACGGAGCTCCGACAAAGATACCGAAGATCCAAGAGCTACATTCCCAAAGAACGAACACCGATCATTTTGCACAACCCGAGAAAATTGATTCATCACGATCTTCGTTTCCGGATGATCAGGAGCCACACCGGATCGGACAAGCCCGAACGGCGTCGGCAATCGGTCAATTATGTCAACTCGAGCTTCCTCATGCTTCTTCAGAATCTTTTCTGCGGTGTAGAAGCCAGCCGGACCGCTTCCGACGACGCAGACGGAGAATGGATTGTTATTAGAGGAAATCGTTGAAATGCGCCGGGAAAACTGTTTCATCGCCATGGAAACATTCGCCATTTTCCTCCCCGGTTGAAATTTGATATTCAGAAAAGCTAATTTTGTGATAACTGGGAGAATCGGATGGGAAAATGGGCGGAGAATCATAAACCCTAAACCCCCAGAGAATGACAATTTTGGGATTTTTCAGTCTTTTTAGCGTTTGGCGTAAATCTTAATAAAGTAGTGGGGAGTTTTCTAAATACTTGAAAATTTAAGGACTACAAAGCAAAACCGCCGTCTATTATTCCGGTCTTCCTTCTCCGTGGGTGCAGAAATGACTGGAATGAATCAAAAACTCAAATAGTGATTAAAGAGACGAAGAAGAGAAATAGAGAGAATTGAAGATGGCGGTGAGACAGAGAGTGGCGGCGAAGCTGCCGACTTTAATGCGAGCTCTGAAAAACGAGTCGTTAACGAAACCAAACATCAATCATGCTGCTGGTAGGGGAATGGGGATTGGGGCTGCCCAGCCGCGATTGCCTTCTCTGAGACGAGCGTTTTCTCTCTACGATCAAATCAATCTCATCGATAATGTCCCCGAGGATCAATTGCGCTTTCAAAAGTAACGAATCTATAATCAATCCTTGGTTTTGTTTTCTCTATTTTGTGCTAATGTTGTTGTTCTTACATTTCCTTGATGTTATCCTGTTCAACCCGTTTGTTTAATGCCTTTAACTTCTGTATGAACACGTAAGAAACTAATACTTTGTGCTGCTTTGCTTGTTACGAAAGAGTTAGTTTTCTCCTCCAAAGAAATGTTGGAAGTTAGAAGTTATTTTCTACATCTGTTTGCTGCTTTGCTTGTTACGAAAGAGTTAGTTTTCTCCTCCAAAGAAATGTTGGAAGTTAGAAGTTATTTTCTACATCTGTTTGTAGGTGTAATTTGTTGTTTATTGCTTTGTTTTTTAGGTTTTCTGATTCAGGGTTTACTGTAAATGGGGTTGATTACGAAGGTAGCCTGCTTTGTGTTGGAAATTTGTTGATGTCCTGGAGTCCTAAAAGATTCTCAGAGGTCAATGCTGAGAGGTAGTATTTGCTTTATTTTTACTTGTTATTGGTATTCATTGTCTTTAAACTTTAACCGGCAGTCTGGCATGAATTCCGTATCAGTATGATGATGTTATCTGAAGTCCTGAATCAGAAGCCAAAAGATGTGCTAGTTTGGTCTTGACTAAGAATTCATCAATTTTTTCTTCTAAGTTTTCTGGAAACTTCTTTTATCTGTTTGTTGAGTAAATACAAGTTACTTCTCCTTTTATTGCCTCTTGAGCTGCAGGAGAATGAAGTTAAAAGGTTGGGTGAGATTCGCTTGATGATGATTGATGGCAGATTGTATATGCATTTGCTTTCCTTGTATTTCACTTCCCTGACTAGAGCCTTTGTTTAACTTTGTTGTGGATCATTATATACAGTTGCGTCTGCCCCTTCCATTTTCCAAAACCCGTTAGTGGCTATTGGTCTATGTCCCATCAGTCATTAGTGTTGCATCTCATTGCATATTTCCATGCAGTAGATGCCTTCTGTTTTTAGTATAAACTTCCATGGCCATTTGAAGTTTGCAGCTTGAATTCAGGTCACTCAAGTTTCATCATTTTGATGATCAGACAATTATGATTTTCTTTCTCGAGTTTCGCTTGTATCTTTACAAGTTGTTTTTGTTCTTTGCAGTTTATCTCTCTTCCAAACAATGAGACCAATACCAGGTAAGTAGTTGAAAATGATATTTTAGTGTCACAGTGATCATTATATTGGTCTGTTAGTTTACTATAGTTTCAATATAATAAAAATTTCAGTCTTTTAATAGCCTGGATAACTTACTCTGTGCTTACTCTTGTTTAATATAGTTGTTAGTGTCTTTGTCTTATTTTTTCAGTCTCATGGCTATCCCTGTTAGACTCAAACTGCACTCTTTTTTTACTTGACTCAAATTAGTTCTGTTATTAAATAAAATTAGTCCTGTTTACACTGATCAGAAAGTAGAGTGATTCTTGATACCATAGTTTGACCCTGGGTTCACTTGTTTAAAAGCTAAAATTCTGCTAAATGGTTGACAATATGACAAGTGACAATATGATTGTCAGATGACCCACAAAATTATGCTATCTAAATGATGAACTTCACAGAGTATAATTATCGTAGGACTTCAAGTTGTTAATGAATATACCAGCATTCTTGTGTTACCATCATGTTTGTGTTAAACTGCTTTGGATATACGCCTGATCATCTTTTTGAAGAAGGAAATTGTCTGTATGTTTCTCTAGCTACTGCATTTTTCCCATCGAATCTTTGGTGGGCGAGTTTCAATTTATGTATGGTAGAAACAGTAAACTAGCATTAGTGACTCGCCTCATGCCATTGACTTACTGTTGATTAATTCTAACCTTGTGATTACAGAAATTTTAATTTTGGGTTGTGGGAAGCATATTCAACCTGTTAGCCCTGGCCTCCGACAATTTATCCGCTCTACTGGCATGAAACTAGAAGCAGTTGACTCGGTATATTTACTTTCTTTTTTCTTCTTTTCTCCATTGAGTAGCAATGCCATATTGGTTTTTGTGTTTTGTTGTGACAATCAAGGACTGTGTGAGCTCATGGGTTGATGACCCTTGGGATTGTCATAAGACTCAAGTTGATTACATACCCAACATTCTTGTGTACAGAGGCAGTTCTGATTGTTCATGTATTCTATTTTAATTCCTTCCCACAATGTTCTTTTTTACATAAATTTTGTGCTCTCTAAACGTACTAATGTCTAGGTTGTGTAAGAGATGTTTTTGAGCCTAGTAGTCTGATCTTTCATTAATTCGCTTTATTCGAATGCAGTAACTTTTTGGTCATGTTACACTTCCATTGATCTTTTTAACTGAGTTTCTTTTTTCATCGTGTTGCAGAGGAATGCTATCTCAACATATAACATTTTAAATGAAGAGGGCAGGATTGTGGCTGCTGCGCTTCTCCCTTTTGGAGTAGAAGATTAGGACTGCATGTATTCAATTTTCGTACTTAGTTTCAACAACTAAGGGTCTTTGATATGTAAATGTAAGATTATGGTACTTTCTTCTAGCCCCTATTTGTCTTTCTAATAATACTTGTAATTTGAAGTCGCGTGACGTATCCCCATATTTAAAGTTTCAAACAAACATTCCATAAAGTACTTCTTTCAATACTACAGTATGAATGACATCTTTATCAACCATCATATTGGGCTGACTGCTGGCGACAGAGTGATCACTGTATATATACAAGTACAATAGAATCAAATTATGAAACCCGGATTTATAACACCAAAAATTTGAACTACCAAGGCACATATCAGGACTGTCAGCTTTTTATGGCGAATTAACCATGAAAATGGTTGATCAATCAATTTACAAGGGACTCCGTCCCCTCAACTCAAAGTTCAACTAGCAATATAACCAAAAGACCACCATCATATGCTTATGATATGAGTTCCCTGACAAGTTACAACTTTGATCAAATAATATATCTAAGAGGCCAAATTTTCCAGAGGAAAGGATGAAACTTTAACCTAAGTAGCTGTCTCCACCTTTGTAGATGCACCACTCAAGTAAACAGGATGAATCTGATGACCATCTTTGGGTTCAACATGTACCCACTTGCGCCCGCTCAGCTTATGATGTTCAAACTTCACATGACCTTCTTTCAAAGCAAAGAGGGTGTGATCTCTCCCGATTCCAACATAATTTCCTGGGTGAAAACGGGTTCCCCTTTGACGGACAATGATGTTTCCAGGGATAACTCTCTGTGCCACAGAGAAACAAGTTCCTAATCTGAACAAAACAACAGCAACAAGACCAAAAAGACCAGAACAAACATGATTCTAAAGGACAACTAGCTTCAAGCTCACCTCTCCACCAAATTTCTTCACTCCAAGATATTTGGGATTAGAATCCCGCCCATTCTTTGATGATCCAGCTGTCTTTTTGGTAGCCCAACGCCTGAATACCAAGCTCAATCCATCTTTAGTTACATCTACAGTTGGCAGTTGATTTCCATGAAAACATCGGAAAATTTATTATCACTTTCAAGGAAAGAACAAACCCTATGAACTCACTTAAAAGTAAGCTGAAACTTTACCAGTAGCAGAGCTGTAAGCAGGAGTGGTAGCTACCAGTTCTCTGACTGTTAATCGACTAAACAAAGATGCCATGTTGTTCATCATATTTATATACCTGGAACAGAATGGTGAATGAGTTATAAGGCAAAAAAGTACTAACTGAAAATAATTCTATATATTGGAGAACACTACAATTTGACTAGAGAGAGACAGAGAAGGGAAGGTAAAAGATCACATCAATAACCACACATTCAGAAAAATATATCGCACCATTCTTTTATATTCTCCCCCTCCTTCCATTTTCCCTAAATCTATATCACTTTCCCAGTTAATCGTAAAAAAGAAAATCCACACCATTCAAAATAAAATCAACCAAAAACCTCAAAAAAACAGCAAGACACAATGTTAAATTGTATTCATCAACAGATTTAACATAAGACATCATAAAACCTAAAACTCACAAATAAACCCAAAACAGAAAACAATAAATATTCTAAGTTTATGGTTCCCGAAAAGAACAAAAAAAAAAAAAATAATTGCAGAAAAAGATGTACATAACATTGCAGTAACAGAGGCGAACTACTAACAGAATCAGATCAACGAGAAAAGATCGGGCCAGCGGCAACAAGCACGTGTAACTGGCAACAAGCAGGAGGAGAACTGATTACAGAGAGGCTCCAGTAACCAATAAAAGTAGGCTCCAATAAGTAGGTGAAGGCGGAAGGGTTTTGTTGGTGAACAGAGAAATGAGTTCTTTGTTGTTGACTAAATTACAAAGAGGAGCTCCAATTTCTATGATTTTCACTCTAAATGTCATCTAAATCGACTCCTTCATATTAATTCCTACATGAAACAAAGTGAGCCAAGAACCTTAACTTCTATTGGAAACAATCCCATTCAATTAGTGAAGCCAAAGTTATAATAGTTCAGTCAGAAACAACCCTAAATGCAATCATTCTAAGAATATATAGAGATTCAAAATGAGCAATAATAACGTCGTTAAAGAAAAGAGACTGATTACAGGAAGACATATTAGATATACGACAAGCAAGGAAGGGATGCCGGAGAAAAGCTTACCTCGGCGCACGGTTGCCGGAGACTATCAGATTTCTTTCTATGCAGTCCGAGGAAAAATTAGAAGCGAGAGGGGTTTTAACTTTGAAGCCTCTTGGGCCAGCGTCCTTCTTTTCGAGACTAGGCCCAGGCCCAATGCTTCTCTCCTTTTCAATTATTTCAGTCTACGTGAAAAGCATAATAGTCTTGTAGAATTATTTTTAGATATTTCTAATATCTTCTTTTTTTGAGCAATAAATAAAAGGTAAATAATAATTATAACAAAGTACTTCAAATTTTGAGAAACAACTATGTTTCATCGTTTTTTCAATATGTTTTTTTAAGTATTTTTTCTATCGGAAATAAAAAATATATATATATTAGAAATGTAAAAATAAACAGTTTTCAATTAAAAAAAATTACCAAACAGATAGTTTCGTGCTGGAGCCCCAACACCTGATGATGGTCACACCTGTTGTGTCCAGCTTGATGATTTTGCAAGAATGGCTAGAAATGTTAAATGGAGCTTCGATGTTATTGTATAAGATGAGAATGGAGAACTGGATTCGTTTGTGTAAAAAAAGGAAAACTGGACAGTGCAAGGGTGTTTTTTCAACTGTTAATCCGAGAGCTTGGAATATATTTCCTATTTTAAATAATTACATTTCCAACCCAAAATGATTATATTACCTTTATTCAAAAAAAAAAAAAAACGCATTGAAATTTTTAAATTTGTATTGTCTTATTATTCAAAATAATTATCTTTCCGTCCCAAAATGATTATACTACCTCTGTTTTGAAAAAGATAATCCACATTGAGATTTTAAATTTATACTGAAACAAAATAAATTTCAAAATTCAATATGCACTTTTTTTGGGAGAGAGAATACTATTTATTGCATTGAAAATAATGCTAGAAACGCAGATAATATTAACATTGTTATTGATGTCTGTTCATGCAAGGTATAATAAACGAAGCTATGCAATTTTGTTGGGAAAAAGAAAAAAGGAAAAAGTGGGTAAACTCATTTAGCTAGGGTGCTATGAAATTTGTTTATTATATACATGGGGAAAACCTTTAGACGTTTGATCGCAGTTAAATCTTTCTTTTAGCTTTTTCAGCTATGCAATATTGTTATTGATTTCTGTTCATGCTATTATCTTCTTCATTCATTCGAAGACTTGTATTTCTAGACAGATATGCGTTATTTTACATTTAATTTTGATTTTTTCTTTTTTAGATAATTGTTAATTCCTCATTTTGGTGTATAACATTTCAACATAATTATAAGAGGGAAAAGAACAATAGCCAAAATTGTTAAATTTCTACTTCCACTATTCGTGTCACATACTAAATACAACCAAATCGTGGACAGATAATAAGAGCCAATGGCCGCCTGAAAATTGCATGCAAACTTCGGCAGGGAGAAAGTAAATGGCCATTGGATAAAGCAAATGGTTAATATAATTCCAGGGTATCTTCGTTGTACGACCGTCTTTTATCCATCTACAAAAAAATCACTATTCAACTGCAACATTTTCCTTCTTCCTGATTCACATTTGGGATAACTAGATCTAGGCACTGGGTTCCGTTCTTTCAAGACCAAAACGACATATGGGGTTCGACTTGATGAGTCCAAGATCCACCTATAAAGCACCCACAAAGTCAGTCAAATTTTGAACGTAGGCGATCCAATCAAAAAATAGCTCACTGTAAAAAACGAAAGCAAATCATTACCTTGTGCCCGAAGAGATCTCTGATGTTATTGATTCCATAAAGGATCATTGTAGGCCTACAAGAATCAAGAAAATGGAAAAAGAAGGCATTACTGGCTCATCCTGTCATAAGACGCACAATCCAGCCCCATGTACGAGAATATTCATTCAAAGACTCACTAACCACAAAGTAACCAATAAAAACTGAGGAAAAACATAACACTATGGCACTAGCAATATGCAATCATTATCTATTTGTATCTGTGTGCACATTCTTCCAAAACAAATCAAATTAGTGTTTACCTTTCAAGTGAAAGACCCCAAGCAATTACCCTGACATCTTCAGGCAAACCCATAGGCTGCAACATCTCAGGTCTGAACATCCCGGAATTTCCAACTTCTACCCACTTCTTAAAGCCCTCATGATAGCTGCCCAAAGGGAAAAGGATCAGGATATTCTATACCACAAATGATATAATTAATCCATTTAAGAGAGAACGAGAGAGTGGAAATTTGCTGCTTACCTGAAGATTTCCATACTGGGTTCTGTATATGGATTGTAAGCAGGCTTGAACCGGAGCTTTGTCATGCCTACAGTAAAGGTGTCAAAAGTGTTAAAACAGAACTAGCTTTTCAATGATCATATCATCAAAAAAACTTTTCCGAATGCAATTCTTACAGATCTAAGAGATCAGTTTGGACCTTTGAAAAGAAAATTATTGACGTTCATTTTGTTTAAGCTAGAAACAGCAAAGCAAATTTATTACTGTAAAGCTGGGATCTTACCCAAACGAGAAAAGAAATCATGAAGAACTCCTATCAGATCACCAAGGGAAAGTCCCCTATCACACATGACACCTGAATCCAGAATTAAAGATAGCCATAACAAGTTAAGCACAAGAAATGTAGACAACATCAGTCAACAATTGCACCAAAAATACACAAAAGAGTCAAGTAATAATACACATCTTTGATCTTACCTTCTATCTGGTGGAATTCAGCAAGATGAGTTCTATCGACGGCTTCATTTCTGAAAACACGATCTATAGAATAATATCTTCTGGGAGCAAAAGGTTTCTGCATATAACAAAATAACATCTCAGATGATATCAAGTTGGATTTTTCATAAACTGAAATGCAAACTCATACTTTAGATGAACAAAATTTTATGACGGCAAGCTCCACATTTAGAGAGAGGAAGAGAAGATTTAACAAAGAGTTGCCTTGAGGCATTTTTCCCAAGCACACATGAATGCAGCAATGGATTGGATTAAAAGGGCTCGATTAAAATCTGGTACTATAAGTGAAGTTGCTGGAAACCAATACAACAAATGCAGCATTGTAACTAGTTATAGCATCTTAGGTTATAGGGGTTGAAATATCGCCAAAGCGAACCCATTGGTAGAACTCAGAAACCCTATGGGAAACTTAGGAAGTGGATTAAGTCCTTGAGTTGAACTATGGCCTTAAAAGAACACATTGCACATGATCATTCCATCGACAAGAGACTAGAAAATTTCTCCCACCCCCAACTCCCATAGGAAAGGCCTGCCCTATATGCTTGAGATTCAGGGAAAATATAAAACCTGTGCCAGCTGGTACAGCATCCTTGAAGAAACAGCAGTTGTATGAGTCCTCAAAACATTCTTATTTGCTTCATCTCGACTCCAATCATAACGATACCTAGAGAACTTAAAATCTATGAGAATGTATTCAATAAATATTATTATATAGAAATTGCAGATACTCCTCAGCTTCCTACCCCCGTGAACCATAACCTCCATCTTCGTGTACATGCTTGACCCTCTCAACATAATCTTCAGGCAATGCCTTTGTAGTGGAAGGTTCTATAATTATAGACAACCAATCATGAGATGCTACTAAGAGAAGTAAACATAACAATGATCAAGCCAGACCGTACCATACCTTTCAGAAAGAATGTATCATGTGAATCCCGAGCAGGGTGTTGCTGGGGCTGGAACAAAGCATCAAAATTCCAGAAACTGTAAAGCACAGTACAGCAAGATAAGAGAAATGAAGAAACTCTCAACCAATAGAAACAGCACCATAAAGAAATAAAGACTATACTTGATTTTTAGCTACAAGTGGAAGTGATATTGGCCATATCAATGGTTTCAACGTGCATTAAAGAGAATGTTTCTCGTTTTTTTGGGTAAACAACTTAGACGCAAAAAAGGTTTTGCCACTCCCCGGCTCTTACCCCGGTACACAATCACAACTATATACATATACATACACAGTAAGACATATAATGCTTTTCTTCCATGTAAGGTACTTTTCAACCCATTAATTTCTCTTCAAAATTGTCAAAACCAGTCTTCTTCTAGATATTAGCCCCAACCCCGTGTCACATGTAGCAGCTCAAAAGGAACATGTAACAACCATTATTTAATTGTTCGTACTAATCAAATCTCCAAAACATCACAATTTTCTGATAATTAACCATCAGTGCAAACTGCATCCAGGAAAAGGGAGTCTTAACATTCAATTAGGAGCTCATTCTAGATAGTGGAGGGAATACAACCAAGTTTTTCTGCAAGCAATAAATTTATAAATGGTGACTTGGCTCACGTTACGTGAAGGTGGTTTCGGTATAACAACAGCAGCATCATCCTCATCTAAGTGTATCAAATGTCAAATATCCCTTCTTTAGATCTCTTGCCTCTTAACTAATAAAACTAAAATGACATATCCAATAACTTCTCTACAAAGACAGTAACATGGATGACATATTTTACCTGCTTTCCACATAATTATTTGTAGGCATCTCCTCGAATCTGCACACAGAAGATAAATGATAAATTTGGCAGACACTAAAAAAGATTCTATTTAATAAAAAGCCACAGAAAAGATGAAGTCAAATACCCCATTTGGAGAAAAATCATTTGAACTTGACGCCGCACCTGCAATGAGCAGCTGTTTAGGTACAGATAACAAATGCAGGGGCAAAACTAATAAACAAATATAAACCATTAAGCTAATTATTACTGTTTAACCCTTGCAGGGGAAGTTCTGAGGATAATAGTCAGTAGCGGTATGTGAACTAATGGATCAGCACAATTGCAAAGTCACCCAACATTATGTAGAAGCTAAATATATACCCCGAAACCCCCAAAAAAAAAAAAAGAGGGAAAAGGAGGGAGGGGGAAGCAAATTGAAAATTAGCAGCTTCAAACCACTATAACTGCTCAAAAGTAACATAGCCAGAAATTTTTTTGGGATCAATACATAACAAGCACGTGCTTTCAACGGCAAGATTTGAATAAAGACTTCCATTATAAAACTGCACCACAAGTCCTTTTGGTGAAAAAGCAAGAGTACGCTCAAAGCTTATATTTTTTGGTGATCCTTCAGGCAAAGCCACATTGTTTCACAAACACAAAGCTTTGAACCATTCAATCTTACATAATCGCCTAAAGCCCAACCCACCCCCACCCAAAGAAAGGCAAAAAAGTAAAAATAACATTAGAAAACTTCTGCAAGAATAGAATGATCATAAACCTGCCTTGAGCAAAGGATGCAGATGGCCACCTTCAATGGGTGGACCTTTAGCTTTGAAGTTGTATTCTTTGAACTCCAACTCCTTCCAGTCACCCCTTCAAGGAGAAGAGAAACTTATTGAAACCATCTAGAAACACAAACCAACCATCTATCTACGTGTAAGTTTAACAATACATGGAATCACATTTTCAACCATTTCCATGTGAACTGAGATCACAGGTTTAAGTCAATAATACAACCTCTTAAACTATAAAAGATACGAATTCATTCAGAGTAAATAGCCCATAAACTTCCCAAACCCTGAGTCATATGCACACTGCAAGAATTAGATCTTGACCTCTCAAGTGATGATTCCTTAAGTAATTTTGACCGATATAAATCGTTAGCCATACACCAAACAGATATGTTCTGAATCAAGAACATATGGTGCACAGGACAAAACAAGAGCCTAAAGGGCAACGCTGTATAACCTGCGCGAGATAAGCCTAGTAGCACCATATAACCAAAAACACTTCTTTCACTTCGATAAAACAACTAAAAGCCAATGTTCAATGAGAACTTTATGAATAACCGTAACAAGTTACAATAAAGAAATATCCGGAATAAAAAGAACTACAGGGACAAAAATACAATGATATTAAATCAACTAAGCATTTCATACACATTCAAGCATTGGATTACCTCAAAATGTTCTCTCGTGTAAGATCAGTAGCAGCTTTTTTCCTGCTTGGAGCATACTTAGGACCCTTTTTAACTGAGTATCCTTTCCATGCCCTGAAATCAAAAGATGCATCCAACAGAGAGAAGCTTAAAGAAAAGTCTGACTGCAGGCAATAAAGTATGACAATATCTAATAGAACAGTATAAAAAGGAACAAATGGATTTAGATAATTACTGCTGTGTGATAAGCTTTCGTCTTTTAAGGGCATCAATATCCTCTGAACCAACCGTCTGCAATAACAATACCAATCCAGCATCAGACTTCAGTATAGCATAAGAAGCATCTACATGAGCATAACATGTCATACTGACATCTAATGCCCAACCAACACTGAAGTAGTGGAATAATGTGAGTTCTCAACATTTCTTTTGCCATACAAACAAGAGTACATTATCAACAGAAATACAAATAGGTGAAATACAACCAGAAGGAACGAAATTTCACAAACAAAATGTTCTGTTAGTCCAAAGTGGAGAGCCATGCTGTTTAATGGCGCTAAAAGACACGTGTCCAACCCAATCCACTATATTCCATGAGCATGGCAAACTTGAAGAACCCTAAAATGCCTATTGTTTATAGTTGTGCAGTTGGCTTGTTTTCCATTTACAATTAGCACCACCATCTGGGACCACAGCAGCAAACTCAAGGAAATAGGTTCAATCAACTGCATTTTAAAAGATCCTTATAAAGTTCAGATTATATTCAAAACCTTCTCTAATACTTATCCGAACCTGACAGAAGACGTGTTTTATGCACTAGATAGAATATGATTGTGACAATTGTTTGTTTCGTTATTTTTCAATGTCTCTAAAATGTTCTGCAATGTGTGTCAGATTTGACTAAATATGAACAATGCTCTTCAAACAAGGTTTACAATCCCAATATAGACCAAATATAGAACAGATGTCTATTAATCAAAACTTAATTTGCAACATAGGAGCATTTCATGTTGTTAGTAGTCTAAAGCAAAGGAAAATGGTTGAGAGACGAACGAATTGAGTAATATCTAAGGAAGAATTTCTCCATGGTTCAGCAATTATGAAACTTCAGAGATGATTCCTTGTATGCTTAAGTCAGATCAGCGTAGTACATTAACATTAGGAGCAGCCAGGAATAGATCTCCGATGAGCTCCATTGATTAAAAGCATGTTTCATCACTTATTGAAATACAAATTTATAAGTACAATAAAATCCAGAGTTTAAGGGCCATAACATTTACATGTCATAGCTTTTTTGGGATAGGTGCCGTGATGCATTAAGATTGGCGAGCGATCTGATACTAAGAAAGCATCAGCTCTCTAAACTCAGTACACACTGTATAAACAGTTCTATCACCATTAGGTTTCAAAGCAAAAAGTTCTTTCCAGAAAACCAAACAGGCGTCAAAACCTGAACCAATAGTTCCACAGAGCTTAAAAAAATAACAGAAGGAACACAATAGCAATAGCATTGAAAAGGAATGCATGATCAAGGATGGAGAATTAATAAAGCTCATCATATGTCATACCTCTCCATTCTGGATTTTCACAAGCAAATCTTTAACTCTATCCTCGACATTTTGGACCTGCAGTAAATGGAAGAAAAGTCATTATGCCATTTACAGATATACTCCTGCCCAGGATGTACACACTGTAATTTCCAGGGAGAAAAGAAAAAGGAACAGCATTTCAGGGAGTGACCATTCCAAAATGACAAAATACAAATCTGTAACACAATATAAGTTGTTTCTTGTTATTCTAGCTAGTCAACATTGAAAGGATGATTAACTTCTCAGCTCCTTACTAGATCTCCACAAAAATAATGTCATTCACCAAAAAGTAATTATCATCAAACTAAAACAATACAAAATGTAAATAACCAAAATTAAACCTCTCTAACTGGGAAGGTTTGCCTAGTTTCCCCCCCCCAACCCCCTCCAAGAAAAAAAGGAGCACAGTGTCAAATATAGTGCAGAAGCAAAGAAACTGCAGAAAATAGAAGCCAAGTTTGATTATTGCGATCTTTGCACCTAGGTATTTATTCAAAAACATCAACAAGGAACAACAAAAAGGTTCCAACATTGCAAGAAAACTTAAATTGGTTGCACCTTAAATCATACAAATTATCAATATTAAAGCAAGCAAGTTGCGAGAAATAGGGATTCAGAAAAGTCAGTCAGGGAAACAGGAAAACAAAAATAACATGAAGCAAAAGATGACATCAAAAGAGCTGTTACATCGATATCAGCAACAGAAGATATAAAATGTCTTCCCACGTCTCAAGGAAACTTGAACAACAAAAAAATTCGATCCTTTACGAGTCTAGCTTGGACGTAGGAACATTTCCAGAGTTGAAATAAAACAGTTTCCATACAAACAAAATGCATAAGTACAACCTCTTATTCTCAATAGCCATATGTTTTAATGCTAAAAATCAAAAGACATAATATTTATCAAATAAGAAGATGAACTGAAGGAGTGATAAATTCAGCAGTACCTTTTTTGAAAGTTGTGACTTTCCCATCTCCACCCATTTGTTCTTAATAGCCTGCTGCAAACCAATCTTGAAAAGAGAAGGCTCTAGCTTTTTCTGCAAATAACAGATGCAAACTTCAATAGATATATTTTGAAAGTGGATAACAGACTACAACTGCTACTTAAGTAGCACATAGCTCACGGAATATACAACAATAAAATGGAGGCCAACAGATAAAAGACAGTGCAGAATATACAATTTGCAGTTGTATTCCAAATATTTGTTACCAGCAAATTTTTTCCTGCTAATCCTATCATCAAAATATCGCAAAACAAAAAAGAGAAGGTACACCACCTGCAAGTCCTCTTTTGCAATGCCCTCGGGAGGTATAGCCAAAAAGAGTTGAATTTCTGGGGATCCTGATTTAGCATACTCTTTCCCTTCATCAGTTAGCACCCAACGCTTCCTCTGTTTCTCCTGTAAAAGTATCCACCAACGTTAATATCAGCTACAGAAGATTTGAAACAATAAGCCTAAATAGTCAGAAATTTTTTGACAATACATGAGAACAAGCATCACAGCTACTTTAAAATCACAAAATTCGATAATGTTCCCTTCACCGGAGACAATGGAGCTTCAAATCATCGAAAAGGCAAGATAGATATTTAACCACATCAAAGGTTCTAACTCATTCAATCAATCCAAATCATAAAACGCCAAATCAAACAGCCAGTACTTCCTAACATATGCGTGGTTTAACAAAAAGAATTCTTACAAATAAACCAGGAGCGTCGACAAGTCCATCTCCATGGAGACTCTTAAGGACGTTGACAATGTCGTCGTGGTTTAACCCACGCTCTTCAGCAAACTTCTCCGTATCCGGAATCTCATCGTTCTTCTGTAGGAAGCTAAGAACAGCTTCTTCAACCATCACTACTAACCTTTTCGCCTCCTTCTAATCCGTCGTGATGATAAGACGATGCCGCCGCCCACCGCTGGATGGAAAGGCAGTTCGGACGGCGTCGAAGCAAGAATTGTAGATGACAAGGTTTTTAGGGTCTTTCCGTCTTTGCGCAAATTCCCCAAAACCAAAACTAATGTTATCAAACCGGATTGGAGTGAAGGAATTATTAGTTATTACAATATGTACTCACTAGTTTCTAGGGTTAATAAAGTGATCCCTAATGGTTTTTGTTATATAAATTTCACTTAATCTTTATTACATAAGTAAATGTCTCTAGCTGAGTTTAGAATCTTGAACACGATTGGTCAAAAATTAAATTGAACATTCTGATTAGTTCATTAGTTCACATGACATCATCAATTTTAAATTGAGCCCTTTGATTGATTAATATATTTTACATGACATCAACAATTTAAAACAATACTACAAGTGTCAATTAATAAAGATGTTTTTCATTTTGTGCCAACTAAATATGTCATTACTCGAGAAAAATAACCTATTTAATTATATGGCGGGCTAAACGATGATGTTTACTATCCGATGTTACCAATTAAAATGTCGTTTTTTTATACCCATTTTTACTGTCAATTTTTTCGGCCGCCCTCTATCCCTTCCTTTCTCACAAATTTTTCCCCGCCCTAAATATCAATCTAATCTTCTGTCACCTCCATTTTCCTATCCCTTCAAAATCCAATTGCCTTCTTGGGTTCGAAATTTAAATGTTATGTAATGGTAGCGACGGTCAATCTCTCGAAAAAAAGAAGAACTGATCCTGATTTTTTTTCAGTTCCCGATGGTGGCGATGATGTAAATCCGGCGTCCAACAAACAAATTGTGATCATACTTTGGTTGGGCTTTCAATGGTGGCAATGATGCCGTTCAGGAAACACATGCTGGTACTGATGAATCGTATTTCTGGAGTCACATAGTAATTATTATTATTAAGGCATATGACCACGTGATCGTTTGAAGTGAATTTATATTGACATGACTCAAACTTGTCGCGTATAGCGCGATGAGAACAAACTAATTGGCCAAAAAACCTCATAACTTGAGGTGATATATTTGTTTAGTCCCAACTGACCAAAATCGTAAAAGTGTCTTTTTTCACTAAATTTATTTTAATTTTATGATACTAATTCTCATTTTCTCCCCTTCTTTTTAAGTTTTTCTTAGTACATAAGTTCCTAAAATTGGGAGGCTATTGAGCGCCCTAATTTTTTCTTTTAAGCACCCTGATTTAATCTAAAAAGACTATTTTGCCCTCGTCAGTTTTTATAAATTTTTAGTTTCAATTTCATTCTTTCAATTCATAAATCAATCTTTCAATTGAAATTTTATCAGTCCTAAAGCCAAAAAAAAATTCAGATTCAATGGCAGAACGATATGAACGGCTATGGAAACAAGCACGGGAGCTCAAGGTACGTAAAATTAATTTGAATTCTTTTTATTTTTGAAGAAAAAATTGAACTAACCTGGCCGAAAAAGGAAACCTCGCCGGGGCAGAAGAGCCAGCACGGGAGATTCGCGCCAGCTCTGCAAGGGGTGCGAGAAATTTCGTCGCCACCTTTTCAAAGCTGGCATTAATCTCCGCACCGGCTCTTCTGTCCTGGCGACGATTTCCTCACCCTTTGGAGGGAGGGGGCGAGAATATCCGGCGCCGGTCATGTGCCGGCGCAGGGAAATTTATATTTTTTTAGTATTTTAATTTAATTTATTTTGTAATTTATTTATTTTAATTTAATTGTTATTTATTAATTGTAGAATAAATATTAGTAATTTTAATTTAATTATTATTAGTAATTGTAAATCTTAGGAATTTTAGTTTAATTATTTTTTATTAGTTTAATTTATTATTTTATAGTTTAATCTTAGGAATTTGTTTTTATTAGTTTAATTGTATTTAGGAAATATTTTTATTAATATGTTTAATCTTAAGTAAATAATTTATTAATAATAATTTTATTTAGGATTTCATTAGTATAGGGAGCTTTAATTTATTTAAATTTGTTAGGTTAATTATGAAATTTATTATAATTAATTTAATTAATGCAATTTTTTATAAGATTAGTCGGTTTAATTATAATTAGCCTCAAATAATATCTGATATGTAGAAATAAAATATTTAGTATCAAGAAATTAAATAAATAAGGATTAATGAAATAAAAAAAGAGGTTAAATATTTTTTGGTTAAAATTAAATACTAACAAATGTGTGTAAAATTACAGAGGCTTATTTACAATAATTAATGTAATGTTTAATGTAAATAAATAATGTATATTTAATATAGATAATTTAATTAACTGAAGTATATTTGTGTAATAGAGAATTTTATATAATTAGTTATTTAAATAATATAACAATGTATTAAAGTAATTAAACTAAATTAATAAATTATCATTTAGGTTTTATGAAGTATGTTTAAATAATATAACAATGTATTAAAGTAATTAAACTAAATTAATAAATTATCTGTTTTATGAAGTATGTTTAAAAACTAATTTTTTTAGGAACGCATTCAGGATTATTTAAAGTTATGTGTAAAATTTAAAACTTTTGTAGGATGGGATATCGCCTCTTGAGGGATCCGGTAAGCACCATGAAGTTACGCGCAATCTACATGATGAACATCGCAAAGGAAAAGAGAAAAAGTTAAAGAAGCTGAAAAATTTACCTCCTACCTTTGCCCCACTTGGTGAGTCGACGAACATAGATGATGATGATGATGACGAGGTTGAGGGAGAGGAAAAACAAGATGAGGATAGTATTGAGAATGGAGGGACGATGTGGATGAGGATGAGGACGAGAAGGAGGAGGAGGAGGAGGATTATTCCTCGCCTGAGAGGGAGATATACATTTTGGAGATAACCCAGTTTTGAACCCCATTGGTCTTACTGATGATCAGACTCCAGTTCGCTCTACTCATGCGGGGAGAGTCTTGTTGGATTCTCAGGGTACAAGTCAGCTTACACTCCCGATGGTTCCAGTCTTCATGCCGACCCACAGAGTACTTTTTACAGAGGTCATAGTAGCACTCATCATGATGTCAGCCCGCGAGGCATTTTGATTGGAGGTCCTAGTAGTACTCTTTACGATGCCGGCCCTCAGTTTTGTTCTGGCGGGACTTCATCGCACCCCCTTCGGACCAATTAGCCCCGTTCCCATTTTGGTGCCGCCTCCATTGGTATCTCTAGCCGTCTTGAGACAGCTGCGATGTCATCAGGTACATATTAGTAATTAGATATTTAAGCATTCATTACTACGACGTAAATTTCTTTATTGCATTAAAATTAAGTATTAAATAATTATTCTTTATTCAGTTTCAGGTACTAGCAGAGGGTCTAAGGTTTCTAACGAGGGAAATGATAATTGCGTTGTGATGGACGACGTAGCAGGCGGGCCATGTGATGGGTCAGTGATTCTTAGTTTCTCGGCCACACTGCTTATGAGTTGTGGAATGGAAAACCAAGAGGTTTTCTGACGATGAAGCCAGTGAAGAAGAGTTTGTCTAGGTTGCATGGATGGTACAAAAGGTTATCGGAGAACGCACAGTTGAAAATTCAGAATACCGATTTATATCACCTGATTGATGCCATGTACGATGACATTGACCTTGCACTTATTTCTGCATTCATAGAGAGGTGGCAGACTGACACAAACTCTTTTCACTTACCGTTTGGGGAGATGACCATTATGATGCATGATGTAGCACACATTTTGGCGATTCCAGTGGGTGGTTACCTGTTGACCAAACCTACGGACGTGGAAACATTGATGGTGCAGGTCTCGAGATTGCTTGGGTTGCGGTTCCCTGACCTTAAGCACGCATGGAGCCACGAAGGTGTATCCGACAGTTTGATAGAGGATAGTTGTCGCACCCTTCTCCCCGATGTTCATGTTCAAGCTTGGATGTGGATCTTGTTAGCCTCGACACTCTTTTTCGACAAGAGTGGGGGCAGGATGAGTGCGTCGCTTATGACCGGCTCCACGGAGGTGCCGAAAATATTGAAGATTACTCCTGGGGATCTGGTATACTAGCATACCTCTACCGTCACATCAGGATTGCTTGTCGAGCAGGGTGTACCACGATAGCTGGTTGTATGACCCTTCGCCAGGCATGGATATACGAGTATTTTCCATGCTTCAAGCCATCGAAGAGGCTGGGTCGTCGAGGTGTTGTTGGTTGGCCCAAAGCCCGAGACTGGACACCAGGTAGCTATAAGGGCCCGAACCCTGTTCAGAGTCGACTCCAGCAGATTCGTGCGCAACTCGACGCGATGACTGAGCAAGAGGAAGTGGTTATATTTTATTTCTTTGTATTGCATAAGGGGTATTTTATTATTCTATATAATAATTTTTTATAAATTTACAGGTGGAATGGGAGCCATTCGGTAGCGAACAGGCGGCCGCACATCCGAGGACCATCTTACGTTGGTGGATTATGTACCATAACTTCCAGGAGCCATACATGCAGGAGAAAGTGCTACACCATCTCGGTTACGTGCAATTTATACCTCATGCGCCGCTCACGCCAGTCAGTCAATTTCGGTGGCAAAATCCAGTCAAGTATCTTGTTGATTGTCCGAGTGCCGAGACCAGTAACTATTGGGTTAGATTTCCTGATTTGGAGTGCATCACCCTCAGTCCTTGTACGCCGGTATCGTCTGCGGAGGTAGGAGAGGCAGATGTAGCGTACCTGGATTGGTACATGAGCCATTCACATCAATTCATACTGCCGACGACCATCCCGTCATCGTCACGCATACCAGCTAAGAACTGCACCATTTACGTAAGTTCGACACTCACTTGAATTTTATTTTAAAAACACATGTAATCTGAAAGTGTTTAACATGTTTTTTATTATTTTAATATTTGTAGTGGATGCGTCAACTGGAGAAGGGGTGGCGAGGTTGCATCGAAGATTTGAAGAAACTCGATCTGAGTCTTGGTGAGCAATAGGATAATTG